ATATCAACAGACCACCGACAGACTATCAACAGACAACTGACAGACTATCAACAGACCACTGACAGACTATCAACAAACTACTGACAGACTATCAACAGACAACTGACAGACTATCAACAGACCACGGACAGACTATCAACAGACTACTGACAGTTCAACGATTGGGAGCATATATATAGTAAAGAGAATTGGTCCTAGCACTGATCCCTGTGGTACTCCACAGGTAACCTTTGAGCGTGTTGAAGATCTATCATTAACATGAACAAACTGAATTCGATCAGATAGATCAGATTTAAACCAGTCTAGAGCTGTTCCTTTAATTCCAACAAAATATTCAAGTCTTTCTAAAAGAATATTCTGATCAACTGGATCAAATGCAGCACTAAGATCCAACAGGACGAGCACAGATACAAGTCCATTATCTGAGGCCATGAGAATATCATTAGTGACTTTCACCAGAGCTGTTTCAGTGCTATGATGAGCTCTAAAGCCAGACTGAAACTCTTCAAAAAGTTCATTACGGTGGAAGTGATCGCAAACTTGTTTGGCAACTACTTTCTCAAGAATTTTAGATCAGAAAGGAAGATTGGATATAGGTCTATAATTGACCAAGTCATCTGGGTCAAGAGACGGTTTCTTAAGCAGCGGTTTAATTCCAGCAACCTTAAAAGCTTTAGGTACATATCCCTGTAACAGAGATAGATTAATCACATCTAAAATGGAGGAGGAGATCAAAGGGAATACCTCCTTAAATAACCTGGTTGGAACCGGATCTAACATCCAAGTTGAAGGCTTAGATGAAGACAATAGTTTTGCTAACTCTGAAAGTTCAACTGGATCAAAGCAGTCTAAACCCGGTTCAGATTCCATGACTACCTCAGATGCTGCCCCCCCCCCCCTCCAGAGGCAAATCAATCGCGGATAGAGGAGTGCTAATTATCTTATTTTTTAATGAGATCAATCTTATTTATAAAGAATCCCATAAAATCATTGCTGCTAAGAGCAGGTGGAATGGATGGTTCAACAGAGCTATGGCTCCGGGTGAGTTTGGCAACTGGATTAAAAATAAATCTAGGATTATTCTTATTCTCCTCTATTAATGAGGAGAAGTATGCTGCTCTTGCTTTACAAAGGGTCCTCTTATACAGCAGTAAACTAAGGACTCCCGTAGGATGTGTTCAGAGGCAGGGTGGTGGTGGTGGGGGGGTGCATCCGTTGCTAAGCAGCAGATGAACTAATTGAGGCATTAAAGCCTTTTTAACCTTTACTGCCTGTTTGTCCTGGTAACCATGGCGAAAGCAGGCAGCATCATTCAGCTACATATACAACAGGCTGTAAATCCTCCATCATCAGAGCGGGACGGCTTTAACATCTGGACCAGAACCAGAACCAGGAACACATCCAGGTCCAGAATCAGGTCCAGAACCAGGAACACAACCAGATCCAGAACCAGGTCTACACCCAGGTCCAGAACCAGGACCCCACCCAGGTCCAGACCCAGGTTCACCACCAGGTCCTCACCCAGGTCCAGAACCAGGTCCAGAACCGGTTCCACATCTTACTGCGCTTCTGATGAAACTCTGTTTAAATGAATTAGACCGATCCACGCAGTGGTCCACTTTAGGTTCAGTTTTGATCTGTTTGACCGTTTTGCTCTGAGAACCTCGGATCAGTTCAGGGATTCTGACCCAGAACAGTTCTGATCAGGTCCAGTTAACCAGGTAGTGATTCAGAGGGAACGTTTACCCCCGGCTCACACCGACTCCGGTCTTACCGTTGCGGTGCGGTGGGTGCGGCGCCGCAGTGATTCCAAGTCATAAAAAAGACGTAAACCTCTCTCACCGGCTGCTGAGCTGTCCGGCTGCGGTTACCGAGACACTCCGGCGCTGCAGAAAATTCCGCAAGAAAGCTATCCTTGCGGCGTGCCGGAGCCCTCCGCAACAAGCTCTCGCAAATATCCTTATTTGGGCCGTGTTATCGCGTGAAGTTACGTGAACTCAAGTGAACTTCTGTTCTCGCGAGTTAAATCTCCGGACCTGTTGCCGGAGCCGCAGAGCCGCACCGCACCGTAGTCAAAAGGGCGGTGTGAGAGGGGGTGTGCGGGAGTTGCGGTCTCCGTCGGCTCGGTAACCGCACCGGAGCCAGTGTGAGCAAGGGGTCAGAGGAAGGAAAAAGTTCCTGAGGAGATTATCAGGAAGGATTGGAAGCAAAACCCTGGAGAACAGTTCTCCTCTGATCTTTGATAGAAACCTCCTGCAGGGGGCAGCATCTCCTCAGTCCATACTAAAACATCACTTTGTTCTCCACCTCCTCCTTGCAGCCTACAGCCTGTCGACCCCTCCTCCACCTGCTGCTGCTCCCCCCTCCCATCAAAAGGATGGGGGGGGTTTCCACCTGGAGACGTACCTCACAGAGCCACGCCGTCCAGAGACCAGGAGGCTGCGCTCCTACTCCTTGCCTCATGACTGCGGATGGCGGGCCTCCCGCCTGGCCTCCCTCTCCTTCGCCTCCTGCAGCCAACCACCTCCTCAGTCTCTGCCTCCACCTGCGTCTCCTCCCATCAGCAGCCAGGTGAGTATCTGTGGGTTCTGTTGCGGGGTCAGAGCCCATGGGGGCCCCAAGAGGAGCGTCAGCTCACTGACGCCCCTGCTGGTTAGCCTATAGAGACTAACTCCTCCCTATGAAAGGCTAACTCCTCCCTCTGAGAGACTAACTCCTCCCTGCTGTAGCTGCTGTACTCTGTACCTCAGGTCAGCAGGGGACAGGTGTGTCCTCCTCTTCCACTTTGCATCTCTTTAGATTAAGGAGAGATTGATTGGAGGCGTGGCCTAATGAGGAGAAACTACCTGCCCCCTAATGCTGGTCTCTGATTGGTTCTCCCTGTGTAGCTGTACCTTTAGCCAATCAGAGCTCTGGGTGGCCCTCCTCATCCAATCAGAGTCACCCATGGTTACTTCCTGGAGTCTGGAAGCACTAAGGGCCAATAGATGGCGCTAGAGACTCAGACTTTAAAATGTCTACCTCAGAAAAATATATTGATCAATGATGAAAAATGTAAACGAAAAGCAGTAAATCAGTTTTTGATGATTTTATTTTCCAGCTGCTGTTCAGAGCAGGAAACAAAAATAAGGCAGTAAAATGGTTGACAGTGAGCTGATAACATCAAACAGGCTTTGATCTTCAGATTCATTTATTTCATAACAATCAATCCTCCTTCTTTAAACTTCATCATAAACAAACAGAGACGATGTTAACCAGCACAGATTAAACTCCGCCCCCATCTTAAGGGAATGAAAGTACTGACCAAACTTCACCACCATCAGCATTTCAAATAGAGAAGATGTAGGTCAGGTGCTCTCCTCCATGTTGCCATGGCGATGCCTTTGATGTTCCAGTGAAGGCCAGCCAGTGTGTGTGTGTGTGGGGGGGGGATGACACCACGCTAACGTCTGCAGACCCTGGGACTGCTAGCTAGCATGCTCCAAAATGTTGGTCCAACATGGATGCATTCTGTTCAGTTTATTTCTATAGTGCTGATTCACATCAGGTCAGTTTCTAGAAACCATTGAACCAGGTTGGTCTGGAAAACCAGTTGATTGCATCCAGACCTGCACCCCCTGGATGAGACTGCAGCAATGACCTCCGCTTGCATTTGGTTGGTGACTCTTCAGCAATCCCTCACACTAAGCATGCTTGTAGCGACAGTGGAGAGGAAAAACTCCCTTTGAACAGGAAGAAACCTCCAGCAGAACCAGGCTCAGTGTGAGCGGCCATCTGCTGAGGCCCACTGGGTCCTGAATCCCATACGAATCCGATCTTTTTAAATGCGACTTGTGTTTTAACGGCCAGGTCGCATTCATCCGACCGGAACGCCATTAATACCAATATAGGTCACTATTCTGCATCTTTCTACGCAGGAGCGGCGAGAAAAACAGAATCCACGGCAGACGATGATGCGGAGAGCAGGATTTATGTTTAACCATCTTGAAATGATCGTGTTTTTAAGGCTGGTAAAGATGGCTAGATGCGCTCCAGCGCTACCATCCATGTTTACTTCCGTAACACAGAGCACGCTGGCCTGTGATGTCATGGCGTCCTCTACTGCACATGCGGGACACTGGCGTATGACTGTAGTTCACACATCAGATCACATAAGAGTCGCATTTATTTGGAAATATGAACGGCAACGAAAAAAAATGTGATTTCTCAAAGAAAAGGGAATTGAGCATCAAGGCCTGCAGTGAGAACGGACCCTCAGTGGCTCTGAAGGATTATCACTAAGTTTGAATCAAAGATTATTACATTCATCATTGGTACTAACATTTAGGTCTATAAAAATAGTAGAAGATGTGAATATTGTGTCATGAAGAAATTAAATCCAGCCTGGGCCCACAGAGATTTAATTATTGTGATTAATGGTGTAAAAACAACTGGCCTGGGCTGTGGACCCCTGTGTTTGAGGATCCTAGTGACGCCTCTGCTTCAGCTTGATTTCCTCTAAAATGACCTAAACTGAAACTCGACTTCTGACCAGCGTGGACCATGCTTTTATATTGAAAGTCTGACCGGAAACACTGATGTTCTGAATGGGTTCCGTCAGCGTGGATCATGCTTTTATACTGAAAGTCTGACCGGAAACACTGATGTTCTGAATGGGTTCAGTCAGCGTGGATCATGCTTTTACACTGAAAGTCTGACCGGAAACACTGATGTTCTGAATGGGTTCAGTCAGCGTGGATCATGCTTTTACACTGAAAGTCTGACCGGAAACACTGATGTTCTGAATGGGTTCAGTCAGCGTGGATCATGCTTTTATATTGAAAGTCTGACCAGAATCCGCTTTCCGCCAAGCTTTGCCGAAACTAGCCGAACATTACCGAGGATAGGCGGAGTTTTTCAGCCGGGGTTCGGTTCGGGTTGAGGGTAAAGATGGAACCGTAAAGACCCGGTCCATCTCCGACCAGAACTCGGAGGTCTCTGCCGGCGGGCAGCAGCTCGGAGCGGCTCATGATCGGAGCCCGTTCGGTGAGTGTTTCCATCGGCGGAGCTTGTTCCAGATTTCCCCTGAAAAACCTGAGATTCTACCAGAACGGCCGTCATCAAAGGCTAATGCGCTGGTGCCGCTCAGTCAGACTGCGTGACGTAAGAGCGGATCCGGAACTGGAACCATCGGCTGCTGTTTGATGACCGGTTGAAAATAACAGCATCCTCCTCATGACCAGGGAACCATTTGATGCACAACACCTGGAGAGAGAGCTGCTGGCTGACTGACTGGTCTGATTGACTGGTCTGACTGACTGGTCTGATGAACTGGTCCCATAGTGGGTGTTTAACTGGTGCCAGTGGGTCTGAGGTGGGGTCCACCCTGGACAGGTCACCAGTCTATCTTAGGGCAGCACAGACTCATTCTGTGAACACAGACTGTATAAAAAATGACTTGTGTTTTTTTTTTTACAGTGATCCTGACATTTCCATCCATAAAGTTCAGCAGTGATCAAATGTAAACAGTGTGGGAGAAAAAAGATGGAGCATAAAACGCTTTGATGTGGAAGTTCAAAGCATTAATCTATACGCAGTGTTTTGGTTTGGTTTGCAGAAATTCTAGGAACCACTAGTAAACCTGCAGATTGAGAGCGAAGTGCTCTGTTAGGAACATCAGGAACAATCAGATCTCTGATATCAGATGGAGCTTGGCCATTTAAGGCTTTATATGTGAGAAGGAGGATTTTAAATTCTATTCTTGATTTAACAGGAAGCCAATGAAGAGAAGCCAGGATAGGAGAGATATGATCTCTCTTTTTCATTTTCATCAGAACTCTGGCTGCAGCATTTTGGATCAGCTGAAGGCTTTTAACTACAGTTTGTGGACTTCCTGATAGTAAAGAATTACAATAGTCCAGCCTTGAAGTAACAAATGCATGGACTAGTTTCTCAGCATCACCCCTGGACAGGAGATTGCTCATTTTGACAATATTCCTCAGATGAAAGAAGGAAATTCTAGAAACCTCTTTGATATGGGATTTAAATGACAGATTTAAACCAGTCTAGTGCTGTTCCTTTAATTCCAACAAAATATTCAAGTCTTTCTAAAAGAATATTCTGATCAACTGGATCAAATGCAGCACTAAGATCCAACAGGACGAGCACAGATACAAGTCCATTATCTGAGGCCATGAGAATATCATTAGTGACTTTCACCAGAGCTGTTTCAGTGCTATGATGAGCTCTAAAGCCAGACTGAAACTCTTCAAAAAGTTCATTATGGTGGAAGTGATCGCACACTTGTTTGGCAATTACTTTCTCAAGAACTTTAGATCAGAAAGGAAGATTGGATATAGGTCTATAATTGACCAAGTCATCTGGGTCAAGAGACGGTTTCTTAAGCAGAGGTTTAATTTGTCTGTTTCTCTGGTCCAGGTCGAGGCTCCAGGCGACATGTTGGATCCATCGGATCAACCTGATCCTGCTGATGGCGGTAAGAATGGGCCTCTGCTGATCAAATCCCTCAGTTCTGTCTGTAAGGCTCAAGCCGTGGGGTCAGCAGACCAGCTGTGATGTTGTCATGGCAACAGACAGCTCAGCTGATGAAGCGTTGAACAACAACAGTGGCATATTTTCCTCTGTAAGGTTCTTATGAAAATCTGAAGGCCGCTGTTTCTGCCAGGCGGCTCAGAGGCGTCGGTACCACGAGGGTCCAGACAGCAAAACCGCTAAGCCCGGTCAGGTTCTGGACGCCCTGCCACTCTGCTGTACCAGCTGTTCTGTGGGGACTGAAACAGCAGCATTCAGGCTGTCACATGACCACCAGTACCGCAAACTGAGGGCTACGGGCTCCACAGGTCCAAACAGGGGTTCTGGTCCAGTTCTTTGTGGGTTCAGAACTAATTCTGCTAAGATCCAGAGATAATTCCATTCAGGAAGTGAATCTGAAATTTTGGGCCTCAGAGAACTTTCTGCAGAACTATGGAGATGCTGATGAGTCAGAACTGCTGGTTCCCCTTGGACCGGTATCGAGTCTAACTCCTGTGTGTTCTGTTGGTTCTGGTTCCAGCGTCCAAAGAGTCGGAGAGGGACATCTACATGCGCTTCATGAAGTGCCACAAATGCTACGACCTCATCCCCACCAGCTCCAAACTGGTGGTGTTCGACACCACCCTGCAGGTGAGTTCGGTTCTGTTGGGTCCTGTTGACGGTTCCGTTTCTGTGATGAGGCTCAGACTGAGCCCGCTGCTCGGGTCCAACTCCCTGAGCCCAGTCATGGTTCTGGTCCTTAATGGGCCAGCTGAGGTTCCGCGCCAGCTGAGGTTCCGCTCCAGCTGAGGTTTCAGTCCCAGCCAAGGTTGCGGTCCAGCCGAGGTTCTGGTCCAGCCGAGGTTCCGGTCCAGCTGAGGTTCCGGTCCAGCTGAGGTTCCGGTCCAGCTGAGGTTCCGGTCCAGCCGAGGTTCCGGTCCAGCCGAGGTTCCGGTCCAGCTGAGGTTCCGGTCCAGCTGGCTGTGCAGCCTCAGAGCTGCATTTCAGGCACGGTTCCCCCGACCCGATAAAGGCAGACTTTAACTGCACTGAGGTTCTGAGTTCTGGTTCTGCTGTGACCCGCTTTGATCCAGATCCTTAGACTCCAGTCTTCCCAGTGGAACCAGTTGTTGCCGTGTGTTTTCAGGTGAAGAAGGCCTTCTTCGCTCTGGTTGCTAACGGAGTGAGGGCGGCGCCTCTGTGGGAGAGCAAGAAGCAAAGCTTTGTGGGTAAGAATGTGCTCCCGTGGCTCCACCCACACGCTCGCCACAGCCTCCATTTTAACTGCTTGCTTGTGTTCCAGGGATGCTGACCATCACTGACTTCATCAACATCCTCACCAGATACTACAAGTCACCCATGGTAACGCCCACACGCATCACTACTATTTGTGCTCCATGGTAAAAACCTTCACATCATCTTAACCAGCAGCTGCTGTCATGGCAACAGCTGCTACCCTGGATGTAAACCGCTCTCTGATTGGATGTCTGAGAAATCTGCAACAGTCGGAACTTCTGCTGACTTTGTTGCCCTTCGATAGGGTCACCTGACCTTCGATAGGGTCACCTGCCCTCCGATAGAGTCACTTGCCCTCCGATAGGGTCACCTGCCCTCCGATAGGGTCCCATGACCTGAGATAGGGTCCCATGACCTCCGATAGAGTCACTTGCCCTCCGATAGGGTCACCTGCCCTCTGATAGGGTCACCTGCCCTCTGATAGGGTCATCTGCCCTCTGATAGGGTCACCTGCCCTCCGATAGGGTCACCTGCCCTCCGATAGGGTCACCTGCCCTCCGATAGAGTCACCTGCCCTCCGATAGGGTCACCTGCCCTCCGATAGAGTCACTTGCCCTCCGATAGGGTCACCTGCCCTCCGATAGGGTCACCTGCCCTCCGATAGAGTCACTTGCCCTCCGATAGGGTCACCTGCCCTCCGATAGGGTCACCTGCCCTCCGATAGAGTCACTTGCCCTCCGATAGGGTCCCATGACCTCAGATAGGGTCCCATGACCTCAGATAGGGTCACCCGCCCTCCAATAGAGTCACTTGCCCTCCGATAGGGTCACCTGCCCTCCGATAGGGTCCCATGACCTCAGATAGGGTCCCATGACCTCAGATAGAGTCACTTGCCCTCCGATAGGGTCACCTGCCCTCTGATAGGGTCACCTGCCCTCTGATAGGGTCATCTGCCCTCTGATAGGGTCACCTGCCCTCCGATAGGGTCACCTGCCCTCCGATAGGGTCACCTGCCCTCCGATAGAGTCACCTGCCCTCCGATAGGGTCACCTGCCCTCCGATAGAGTCACTTGCCCTCCGATAGGGTCACCTGCCCTCCGATAGGGTCACCTGCCCTCCGATAGAGTCACTTGCCCTCCGATAGGGTCACCTGCCCTCCGATAGGGTCCCATGACCTCAGATAGGGTCCCATGACCTCAGATAGGGTCACCCGCCCTCCAATAGAGTCACTTGCCCTCCGATAGGGTCACCTGCCCTCCGATAGGGTCCCATGACCTCAGATAGGGTCCCATGACCTCCGATAGAGTCACTTGCCCTCCGATAGGGTCACCTGCCCTCTGATAGGGTCACCTGCCCTCTGATAGGGTCATCTGCCCTCTGATAGGGTCACCTGCCCTCCGATAGGGTCACCTGCCCTCTGATAGGGTCACCTGCCCTCTGATAGGGTCACCTGTCCTCCGATAGGGTCACCTGCCCTCCGATAGGGTCACCTGTCCTCTGATAGGGTCACCTGTCCTCTGATAGGGTCACCTGCCCTCCGATAGGGTCACCTGCCCTCCGATAGAGTCACTTGCCCTCCGATAGGGTCACCTGCCCTCCGATAGGGTCACCTGCCCTCCGATAGGGTCACTGCCCTCCGATAGAGTCACTTGCCCTCCGATAGGGTCACCTGCCCTCCGATAGGGTCACCTGCCCTCCGATAGGGTCCCATGAGCTCAGATAGGGTCCCATGACCTCAGATAGGGTCCCATGACCTCCGATAGAGTCACTTGCCCTCCGATAGGGTCACCTGCCCTCTGATAGGGTCACCTGCCCTCTGATAGGGTCATCTGCCCTCTGATAGGGTCACCTGCCCTCCGATAGGGTCACCTGCCCTCTGATAGGGTCACCTGCCCTCTGATAGGGTCACCTGTCCTCCAATAGGGTCACCTGCCCTCCGACAGGGTCACCTGTCCTCTGATAGGGTCACCTGCCCCCGATAGGGGCACCTGCCCCTGTAGGGTCACCCCGTCCTCCAAAAGGGGCACCTGCCCCCGACAGGGTACCTGTCCCCGATAGGGTCACCTGCCCCCGAAAAGTCACTTGCCCCGATAGGGTCACCTGCCCTCCGATAGGGTCCCCTGACCTCAGTAGGGTCCCCAGACTCAGAAGGGTCCCATGACCTCAAAAGGGTCACCCCCTCCAAAAGAGTCATTGCCTCTGATAGGGTCACCCGGGCCCCCCGATAGGGTCCCATGACCCCAGATGGGTCCCATGACCTCCGATAGAGGCACTTCCCTTGGGTGGGTCACCCGCCCTCCGATGGGTCACCCGCCTCCCATAGGGTCCCTTTACCCCCCATAGAGTCACTTGCCCCCCCTTTTATAGGGTTTACCTGCCCTCCCATAGGGCACCTGCCCTCCCATAGGGTCCCCCTGACCTCGATGAGTCCCCCGCCCCTTTATAGGGTCACCCGCCCTCGATTGGGTCACCTGCCCCCGAAGGGTCACCCCCTCCAATAGTATTCCCCCTCCGATGGGGGGCACCGGGCCTCCAAAAAGGGTCACCTGCCCTCGAAGGGGCAACCGCCCCCGTTTGGGTCACCTGCCCCCGATAGGGTCCCGCCCCCGATGGTCACCCCTTCCCCTGTGGGTCCCCGCCCCGATAGGGTCCCATGACCCCGATAGAGTTACTTTTTCCCTCTGATGGGTCACCCAGCCCTCCGATAGGGTCCCGCCCTCCGTAGGGTCACCCGCCCTCCGATAGGGTCCCATGACCCCCATAACCCACGCCCTTATGGGTACCCCCCTCCCTACCCAACCCAAACCCTGCCTCCGATAGGTCACCCCAAGGGCCCCCCCCCTCAACACCCCCCCCGTACCCAACCCTAACACGCCCCGGGGGGCCCGCCCCTAAGGGTCACCTGCCCATTCACCCCCTCAAACCCCCCCCCAACATCCCCCAAACCCCCCCCCTCCAAGATCATTTCCCTGGTCCTGCCCTGAAGGGTCCTGCCCCCCAAAAGAGTCATTCCCTCTGATAGGGCACCCGCCCTCCAAATGGGTCAAACCCCTCCCCCATAGGGTCCCTGCCCAGATTTGGGGCCCCCCTGACCTCCCATAGAGTCACTTGCCCTCTGTAGGGGCACCTGCCCTCCTGGGCCCTCGATGGGTCACCTGCCCTCCCCATAGGGCCCATGACCTCATGAGTACTTTTCCCCTATGGGGCCCCCTGCCCTCCGATAGGGGCCCTGCCTCGATGGGGTACCTGCCCCCCGAAAGGTCCTTTCCCTCCGATGGGTCACCTGCCCTCCATTTTGGGTCCCATGCCTCCCCATAGAGTCCTTTCCCCCGATAGGGGCACCCGCCCTCGATAGGGTCACCCCCTCATAGGGTCACTGCCCTCCGATAGGGTAACCTCCCCTAATCCCCCGCCCCCCCCCCCAAGGGGGCACCTCCCCCCGTTAGAGCACCCCCAAAATCACCCCCCCATGGGGCCCCCCCCAAAACCCCTTTCCTCAAGGTCACCTCCCTCCAATATCACCGCCCTCCAATCACCCCCTCCATAGGTTCACCTGCCCCCCAATCACCCCCGCCCTCCAAGGGGCCCCCAAAAACCCCCGATTTCCCAACCCCCTGGGGCCCGACCCAAAGGGGCCCCATACCCGATAGGGGTCACCCCCCTCCAATCAACCTCCTACCCCAGACCCGTACCCCTGACCCAGAAAATCCCTGACCCAATAACCCCGCCTCCATGACACTTTGCCCTCCATAGGGTCACCTGCCCCCTGATAGGGTCACCTGCCCCCCCGAGGGTCCCCTGACCTCGATAGGGTCCCTGCCTCGATAGGGTCCAAACCCGCCCTAAAACCCCTTGCCCTCCCTTTGGGTCACGGGCCCTCCGTAGGGTCACCTGCCTCCGATGGGTCCCTGCCTCCGATAGGGTCCCTGCCTCGATAGGGTCCCCTGCCCCCCCCTTGGGTTTTTCCCCTGACCCGTAGGGCCCCCGCCCCCCAAAAGAGTCACTTGCCCTCCGATGGGCACCTGCCCCCGGGGCCCCGCCCTCCCCATAGGGGTCCCATGACCTCGATAGGGGTTCCCTGTCAAAAGGGTACCCCCTCGATAGGGTCCCTCTCTGATAGGGTCACCCCCCTCGGCCCCCCTCCCATAGGGTCAAAACCCGCCTCCATAGGGGCCCTGCCTCTAGGGTCCCTGCCTCCCCATAGAGTCATTGCCCTCGATAGGGTCACCGCCTCCCATAGGGTCCTGCCTAATAGGGGCCCCTGCCTCGATGGGGCACCCGCCCTCCAAGGGTCCCCCTGCCCCCGATAGGGGCACCCGCCCCCATAGAGCACGCCCCGAACACCCCTCAATCCCCGACCTGTAGGGGCCATAACCCAATAAGCCCCTTTTCCCCCGATAGGGTAACCCCCCCCCAAGGGCCCTGACCTCAATAGGGCCCTACCCCCAAGAGTCACTTCCCCGAAAAGGGCCCCCCCCCCCTCCCCAACACCGCCCCCGAATGGGCCCAACCCCAAAGCCTTCCTTTAGAGCACCCCCCCCCCCGAAGGGCACCGCCCTCCCATGGGGTCCCGACCTCCGAAGGGTCCCTGCCCCCGATAGGGTCCCATGACCTCCGTGGTCCTGCCTCGATAGGTCACCTCCCTCCCATGGGTCACCTGCCCTCCCAAGGGGCCCTGTTCCCCCCGATAGGGGGGCACTTCCCCCCCCTGTTAGGGTCCCTGCCCCCCAATAGGGGCCCTGCCCCCCCAATAGGGGGGGTTCCCCCCCCAAAGGTCACGCCCTCCTAGGGGGCCCCTTTCCCTCGTAGGGTCCCCCTTTCCCTCCGATAGGGTCACTGCCCTCCTTAGGTCAAAGCCCCCCGATAGGGGCACCCCCCCCCCCATAGGGTCACCCCCTCCGTAGTTACCTGCCCTCCCATAGGGTCCCATACCTCGATAGGGGGCACCCCCCTCCAAAGGGGCCCCAAACCCATTAGGGTCACCTGCCCTCCGTAGGGTCCCCTGACCCAGATAGGGTCCCATGACCCCCGGGTAGGTCACTTTCCTTGAAGGGTCAACCCCCCCTCCGAAATTTTGGGTACCTGCCCCCCGATAGGGTCACCTCCCTTTCCATAAGGGCCCAGACCTCCCGTAGGGTCACCTTCCCCCCCCGTTGGGGGCCCCCCCTCCTCTGATACTCCCTCCCCCCGATAGGGTCCCCTGACCTCAGATGGGTCCCCTGACTCCGATAGGTCATTCCCTCTGTGGGTCCCCTGCCTCGATAGGGGCACCCGCCCCCTAGGTCACTTGCCCTCCGATAGGGGGCACTGCCCTCCGTAGGGGGCCCATGACCTCAGATAGGGGCCCATGACCTCCGATGAGTCCCCCTTCCCTCTGATAGGGGCACCTGCCCCCCATAGGGTCCCATGCCCCCAGAAGGGGCCCCTTTACTCGATGGTCACTTGCCCTCTGATAGGGTCACCCCTCCCGATTGGTCACCTGCCCTCCCATAGGTCCCCCTGACCTCCGTTTTGAGTCACTTGCCCTTGATAGGTCACCTGCCCTTGATAGGGTCACCCTGCCCTCTGATAGGGTCACTGCCTCGATGGGTCACCCGCCCTCCGATGGGTCACCTGCCCTCTGATAGGGTCACCTTTCCCTCCGATGGGCACCTGCCCCGATAAGGTCCCCCTGCCCCCCGATGGTCACCCCTGCCCTCCGATAGGGTCCCCGACCCCCGGGTAGAGTCACTTTCCTTGAAGGTCACGCCCCCCCCCGATAGGGTCACCTGCCCCCCGAAAGGGTCACCCCTGCCCTCCGATAGGGGCACCCGCCCTCTTGGGGCACCTGCCCTCCATAGGGTCACCTGCCCTCCATAGGGAGTCCCCTTGGGCCCCCGATAGGGTCACCCCCGCCCCCCCCCATAGGGTCACTGCCCCCTGGGTCCTTGGGGCCCTCCGATTTAGGTCCCCTCCCTCCAATAGGGTCACTGCCCTCCAATAGAGTCACTTGCCCTCTGATAGGGTCACCTGCCCTCCAATAGGGTCACCTGCCCTCTGATAGGGTCACTTGCCCTCCGATAGAGTCACCTGCCCTCCGATAGAGTCACTTGCCCTCCGATAGAGTCACCTGCCCTCCGATAGGGTCACTGCCCTCCAATAGAGTCACTTGCCCTCTGATAGGGTCACCTGCCCTCCAATAGGGTCACCTGCCCTCCGATAGGGTCACTTGCCCTCCGATAGAGTCACCTGCCCTCCGATAGGGTCACCCGCCCTCCGATAGGGTCCCATGACCTCAGATAGGGTCCCATGACCTCAGATAGGGTCCCATGACCTCAGATAGGGTCCCATGACCTCAGATAGGGTCACCCGCCCTCCGATAGGGTCACCTGCCCTCCGATAGGGTCCCATGACCTCAGATAGGGTCCCATGACCTCAGATAGGGTCCCATGACCTCAGATAGGGTCACCCGCCCTCCAATAGAGTCACTTGCCCTCCGATAGGGTCACCTGCCCTCTGATAGGGTCACCTGCCCTCCGATAGGGTCCCATGACCTCAGATAGGGTCCCATGACCTCAGATAGGGTCACCCGCCCTCCAATAGAGTCACTTGCCCTCCGATAGGGTCACTTGCCCTCCGATAGGGTCACCTGCCCTCCGATAGGGTCACCTGCCCTCCGATAGGGTCCCATGACCTCAGATAGGGTCCCATGACCTCAGATAGGGTCCCATGACCTCAGATAGGGTCACCCGCCCTCCAATAGAGTCACTTGCCCTCCGATAGGGTCACCTGCCCTCTGATAGGGTCACCTGCCCTCCGATAGGGTCCCATGACCTCAGATAGGGTCCCATGACCTCAGATAGGGTCACCTTCCCTCCGATAGGGTCCCATGACCTCTGATAGGGTCACCCGCCCTCCAATAGAGTCACTTGCCCTCCGATAGGGTCACCTGCCCTCCGATAGGGTCCCATGACCTCAGATAGGGTCCCATGACCTCTGATAGAGTCACTTGCCCTCTGATAGGGTCACCTGCCCTCCGATAGGGTCCCATGACCTCAGATAGGGTCACCCGCCCTCCGATAGGGTCCCATGACCTCAGATAGGGTCACCCGCCCTCCAATAGAGTCACTTGCCCTCCGATAGGGTCACCTGCCCTCCGATAGGGTCCCATGACCTCAGATAGGGTCCCATGACCTCAGATAGAGTCACTTGCCCTCTGATAGGGTCACCTGCCCTCCGATAGGGTCCCATGACCTCAGATAGGGTCCCATGACCTCCGATAGAGTCACTTGCCCTCTGATAGGGTCACCTGCCCTCCGATAGGGTCACCTGCCCTCCGATAGGGTCCCATGACCTCCGATAGAGTCACTTGCCCTCTGATAGAGTCACCTGCCCTCCGATAGGGTCACCTGCCCTCCGATAGGGTCCCATGACCTCAGATAGAGTCACTTGCCCTCTGATAGGGTCACCTGCCCTCCGATAGGGTCACCTGCCCTCCGATAGGGTCACTGCCCTCCAATAGAGTCACTTGCCCTCCGATAGGGTCACCTGCCCTCCGATAGGGTCACTCGCCCTCCAATAGAGTCAATTGCCCTCCGATAGGGTCACCTGCCCTCCTATAGGGTCACCCGCCCTCCGATAGGTTCACCTGCCCTCCGATAGGGTCCCATGACCTCAGATAGGGTCACCTTCCCTCCGATAGGGTCCCATGACCTCTGATAGGGTCACCTGCCCTCCGATAGGGTCCCATGACCTCAGATAGGGTCCCATGACCTCCGATAGAGTCACTTGCCCTCTGATAGGGTCACCTGCCCTCCGATAGGGTCACCTGCCCTCCGATAGGGTCACCTGCCCTCCGATAGGGTCCCATGACCTCAGATAGGGTCACCTTCCCTCCGATAGGGTCCCATGACCTCTGATAGGGTCACCTGCCCTCCGATAGGGTCCCATGACCTCAGATAGGGTCCCATGACCTCCGATAGAGTCACTTGCCCTCTGATAGGGTCCCCTGCCCTCCGATAGGGTCACCCGCCCTCCAATAGAGTCACTTGCCCTCCGATAGGGTCACCTGCCCTCCGATAGGGTCCCATGACCTCAGATAGGGTCCCATGACCTCCGATAGAGTCACTTGCCCTCTGATAGGGTCACCTGCCCTCCGATAGGGTCCCATGACCTCAGATAGGGTCCCATGACCTCCGATAGAGTCACTTGCCCTCTGATAGGGTCACCTGCCCTCCGATAGGGTCACCTGCCCTCCGATAGGGTCCCATGACCTCCGATAGAGTCACTTGCCCTCTGATAGAGTCACCTGCCCTCTGATAGGGTCACCTGCCCTCTGATAGGGTCACCTGTCCTCTGATAGGGTCACCTGCCCTCCGATAGGGTCACCTGCCCTCTGATAGGGTCACCTGCCCTCCGATAGGGTCACCTGCCCTCCGATAGAGTCACCTGCCCTCCGATAGGGTCACCTGCCCTCCGATAGGGTCCCATGACCTCCGATAGAGTCACTTGCCCTCTGATAGGGTCACCTGCCCTCTGATAGGGTCACCTGTCCTCTGATAGGGTCACCTGCCCTCCGATAGGGTCACCTGCCCTCTGATAGGGTCACCTGCCCTCCGATAGGGTCACCTGCCCTCCGATAGAGTCACTTGCCCTCCGATAGGGTCACCTGCCCTCCGATAGGGTCACTGCCCTCCAATAGAGTCACTTGCCATCCGATAGGGTCACCTGCCCTCCGATAGGGTCACTGCCCTCCAATAGAGTCACTTGCCCTCTGATAGGGTCACCTGCCCTCCAATAGGGTCACCTGCCCTCCGATAGGGTCACTTGCCCTCCGATAGAGTCACCTGCCCTCCGATAGGGTCACCCGCCCTCCGATAGAGTCACTTGCCCTCCGATAGGGTCACCTGCCCTCCGATAGGGTCACCTGCCCTCCGATAGGGTCCCATGACCTCAGATAGGGTCCCATGACCTCAGATAGGGTCACCCGCCCTCCAATAGAGTCACTTGCCCTCCGATAGGGTCCCATGACCTCAGATAGGGTCCCATGACCTCCGATAGAGTCACTTGCCCTCTGATAGGGTCACCTGCCCTCCGATAGGGTCACCTGCCCTCCGATAGGGTCCCATGACCTCCGATAGAGTCACTTGCCCTCTGATAGGGTCACCTGCCCTCCGATAGGGTCACCTGCCCTCCGATAGGGTCACTGCCCTCCAATAGAGTCACTTGCCCTCCGATAGGGTCACCTGCCCTCCGATAGGGTCACCTGCCCTCCGATAGGGTCCCATGACCTCAGATAGGGTCCCATGACCTCAGATAGGGTCACCTTCCCTCCGATAGGGTCCCATGACCTCTGATAGGGTCACCCGCCCTCCAATAGAGTCACTTGCCCTCCGATAGGGTCACCTGCCCTCCGATAGGGTCCCATGACCTCAGATAGGGTCCCATGACCTCCGATAGAGTCACTTGCCCTCTGATAGGGTCACCTGCCCTCCGATAGGGTCACCTGCCCTCCGATAGGGTCCCATGACCTCCGATAGAGTCACTTGCCCTCTGATAGGGTCACCTGCCCTCCGATAGGGTCACCCGCCCTCCGATAGGGTCAGTTGACATGAGTGTGTGTGTTTCCGTCCAGGTGCAGATCTATGAGCTGGAGGAGCATAAGATTGAGACGTGGAGAGGTATGACTATGAGCTGATTTTAAGAAAGAATTCTTTGGCATTTGCAGAATAACAGTCCTGTTCTTTTTGGCAGAGCTGTACCTGCAGGAGACCTTTAAACCTCTAGTCCACATCTCACCTGATGCCAGGTACCTGCTTCTGCTCTTAAAGGCCACTGTGTGAAAAACAGCTGATTAGTTGGTGAGTCAGACAGCGGCTCTGGACTAGCGCCATCAAACACTTCTCCCCCCCCTCTACAGTGTGTTCGAAGCGGTTCATTCTCTAATAAAGAGCAAGATCCATCGACTTCCGGTCATTGACCCGGTCAGCGGCAACGCTCTCTACATCCTGACGCACAAGCGGATCCTGAAGTTCCTGCAGCTCTTTGTGAGTCTGGGGGGGGGCAATGTTCACCAAGTCCATCCATCTCCTTAGTCCCAGACCAAGGGATGGAACTTGGTTCATACATTGTCTGGGTTCATTCTCCTCTCTGACCGGGGACTCACCCCTGGCATATCTAATATCTGAATGTTTCTAGATTAGACTGAGACCATAGAGGAACTCCCTGCAGGACTCAAATGGTTCGGTGTTCTCAGCTACATCTGGGGTTGAGGTTTAATGGTGGTCTTACTGCTGGTGTTTTACCACAGACCCATTTCCACTACCCTCTGAAACTGATCCGTGCCAAGTTCAGACCAAGCTTGGATCAGTTAACCGTGCTGAGCTCAGTTCGTTACGACCATTTACACACCACCCTAGCATGGTCCCTCGCCTCCTAGTGGCGATCTACGGTACTACTGCTCTCTAGAGGGAAACAAGCAAACCAACTTGGCGGCGCCCGTAACATTCAGAAGTTAGCGGAGAATCAAGCGAAGAAGGCAGCCTTTGGTGAATTTACTTGACAGAGTCAGCTTTTGGGAAGCGGATATTACAAACGATAATCTGCGTTAGGAAAGCTACGATTTTTAGGAATGTCTGAAATTTCCTGATTACGGAGTCTGAGTGTAAGGAGATGATGCGGTCTGCTGATGCGCTCTTTGTTATCTAAGAACCGAGCCAGAACCGAACAATGCCTAGCCCTACTGATGAACTCGTACCAGTTAAGCACGGTTGTGTCTGGCGCGATCCGGTTCAGTTGTGCGTACCATTTACACTCAACAGTTATCTGGGTCACCATGCTCGGACCGATCTCAGCACGGTCTCTAAAGGGTAGCGTAAAGGAAGCTAATGGCTCTGTCTCAGGTGTGTGAGATGCCAATGCCAGCCTTCATGAAGCAGACTTTGGAGGAACTTGGAGTTGGAACGTACTCAAACATCGCCTACATCCACCCTGACACCCCGCTCATCACGGCCCTGTCCGTATTCACACATCGCCGAGTCTCGGCGCTGCCTGTCGTAGATGATAATGGTGAGTAGCTCCATCAGCATGTCAGGTGTTGATGTCCGGAGCTGTTCTGATTCCCTCCTGTATCTATCTGCAGGGAAGGTGGTGGATATCTACTCCAAGTTTGACGTCATTGTGAGTACAACCATCCTTTCCTAGTTCTGTAGAACTTAGTCCAACACTGATGGGGTGACTCCTGTACTTGAGCAGAACTTGGCAGCCGAGAAGACCTACAACAATCTGGACATGACGGTCACCCAGGCTCTCAGACACAGGTCACAGTACTTTGAAGGCGTCATGAAGTGCAACAAACTGGAAACCCTGGAGACCATCGTGGACCGGATCGTGAAGGCAGAGGTACCTTCTCCCACATGTGATGTTACACCATGATCCAGGATGGAGATGAGTTTTTATCTTACTGGGGAATTATTGTAGAACAACTCAGGAGGGGCGGGGAGTTTATTCCCGGCTTTTATGGTGAAGGGGTTTTGCTGATCCAAATCCAGTTTACGCTCGGTGTTTGTGTCTGCAGGTCCACAGGCTGGTCGTTGTCGATGACGAGTCTCGTATTGTCGGCATTGTGTCTCTATCGGACATCCTGCAAGCGCTGATCCTGATGCCTGCTGGTACAAACTTTACTCCTGTTTCCAGTCATGAATATGTTTTAATCGGGCATCATGGGAGGTGTAACATAACTGCGATCAAGATCAACACCGGGTTACGAGATATTCTTGGTCCCAAAGTTTTTAGTTATTAGTGAACACAGATGTGAACAGAAGCGTGAGGAGATGTTAAGAGTAGGCCAACTAAACAATAGGGGTGGTGATGCAGACAGGAGAATCCAGGTATTAGCCAGCGCACCCTGGTCCAAAGCGCCTGATGCCTCAGTTAGGGAAGTGGAAGTGGAGAATGAGTCTATTCGTTTGTGACGAACAGATCCAACTCTAGTTGACTGAAGAAGTTGCAAATCATGTGCATCATTTCATGGTGAAAGGACTATTCTCTCACAGCAGAACCTGGCAAGAGAGAGAGTGTGACTTGATTGAAATGGGTGCAACTGGAACTGCCAATGGCAACCCTGATGACACACCTGAAAAAGCTGCATGTCTTACCCAATAGGAACAGAATCCATCAGATCTATTGACTAACCAGTCTATCCTTGTAACACCCTAAAGGACGTCTGACAGTGTGAACATTTGGAAGGAAGCACCTTTGGCACGGATGGGGCCCCTTCATTTCCAAAAAGTTTTTCTTGTTGTTTCTTTTCCACAACTGAATACATGTGATAGTAGCATCTGGATTGATGCAGAGGGACTCCAGCTTCTATTGCACCCTTGGCCAGGAGGAAGGAAAACTCCTGGTCAAGCACTTGGGATTTTGCCTGGTCAGTGATCAGTCATTTTACCCAGCGTGAAAAAAAGGGCAGCCGTCAGAACTGCAGCCATGGGTTAAAATCACAACCACTCATTGGTCCACAGCATTAGCAGCCCAAAATATGAGCTGCTGATGGAAAAAACTGTTCAACAGCTGGCCTGTTGGCATCATATTTGAACCCCACGGCTCTTAAGGGCCCTGGAGGAGTTCTAACCCGGATCTTAGGCCTGGGTCTGTCTCACTGGGCAGCAGACTATCTGTGGTCAAAAACTGGGGCTAGCAGAAGGAGACCTGGAATGCTGAGGAGGGGGGCAAACTCCTCCAGAGGCTGGAGAGCTGCTGGCTAGTCAGGCAGGCTTGAACAGTCCTCTTCAGTGCATCCAGGGAAGGCGACCCAAACAACTTCCCTACCCATAACTCTTACAGTACTGCAGGTCCTACGGCATGCCTCTATCAGTTGAGACTGTGCCAACCAGACCTGTAGACCACTTGCACATGAGTGCTGCCAGTACTTGCTCCTACATGGTATCAGGCAAAAGCACAAAACGCCAATCCATACAATAACTGGAGCCAACTGTGTCCAGGTTTGCCCACAGGGTACCACCCAGTCCAGATGGGAACAGCACATAGGCTGACATCCGTGTAGGGGCGCAAATAATGTCACCAATTATGCAATCATGAACATGCAGACGAAAAGTGGCCAACAGACAGTAATTCTAATGAGGCAAACTCAGAATGCCATCAGAGGAGCTGTCGGTTAGGCTGGAAGAGAAACTGCTGCCATCACCAGCTAGAAACACCAAACAGAAAAAAACAAAGGTGGCTTAGACACACACACACACACACAAAAAATATATATATATATATACACATGTAGAAGCACTGTATATACCCCATTCACCTTTTCCTCCTTTTAGCACCTTAGTTTGACTGTTGAGCTGATTTATTTCTCCACTGTGAGATCAATCAAGTCTATCTTATCTTGCTTGGAAACCTGTGGTGGTCTTCCAGCTTTGACTGTTTAGAGGAAGGTCCAGCAGAGATAGACCTCCTGCAGCACCTCTTTTTTCATGTGTCCTGTTTTGCTGTGATAGCTCTAGAAGCTAAATGTTAGCGCAACAGATTAGCTTTCATGAGCAGACCATTATGACTGTTACCACAAGGTTCAGCTTGGTACTTATAAATATCACTTTATTGAAAATAATTCAGGGAATAAATCATATAAAACAGAGACAGAAAGGGAGGTGAGAAAGAAACAGCGGACAAGAAATAAGGGGAGGGAGATGGAGACAGGAAAGAAAACATGAAAGGAGAGAAAATAAAACAACTGAATGGCAAAAATAAACCCAAGAATATTTACAGTAATTCCTAGAAGTCTGTTTTTACACCTGCATGAGACAAGAGAAAGAAAACAGAAAAAGAAGACAACAGACAACCAAAATAAACCGGTTTTAGGAGCAGCGGGTGTCCCTCATATATCCATGTGTGTCGGAGTAAAAACCTGCGGTGATTCCACATTAATATTCAGGCTGGTAAATATCTGCAGCTGCAGAAGCAAACTCCCATGGTATGGATGCATGGGCATGCTGGTGTATAAAGGATTCCCAAAGCTTCTTCTGAAAGAAAATATGCTCAATAGCAGGTGTGGGCGGCCCCAGCCTCGCCCTACTGGACCCTGGATAGGAAAATAGGTGATCCTGGCCCCGAATATCCAAAGGTACCCCAGATCACCGCTATACAAGCAGGGCAGACACAGGGATGACCGCACCCACCAGAGAGGGCAGACTAGAGCACCCAGAGGCCAACCCCAGAGGGGACAGACCCCTAGGCGCTCTCTACCTGAGGGGCCCGACACCAGAGTCCATAGGTCCAATAGGGCCGTGGCAACAAGCCCATGGGCTCCACCGGAGGCCCAAGGTAGACTGCTACAAGCTGCCTTCCTCTTCCTTCAAAATTAAATCAAATGAAAACAAGAAGTCATCCAGATGCCCCTCTAACTGCCGCCTCCTGCCCTGGTTTCATCCTCCTGCTACGCACTGAGACTCTTTATTGGACTGATGTCGATTTATCCTGGGAGCCATGGAAACCAAAGTAAACTCCTGGTGTTTGCAGACAGACCCGGTTATTACAGCTGGTTCTGATGGTCAGAGCATGAAAAAGATTAGACCCTGAACTGAACCACTGAAGGACTGACAAAGTCTCATCCAGGTGTCTCTGTGTTTTCAGGTCTGGGGAGGAAGGAGTCCATCCCCTGTCATCCCGGAGACCTGGATTCTGCCCAGCCAGAGGCAGCCGGTCCAACCGGGCCGGACCAAGACCCGGGTCTGGAGCAGGAGACGGACAGCACACTGGCTGAGGGGCTGGGAGGAAACCCAGAACCTGAAGCAGACCAAGACCAGGACCAGGGAGGGAACGCTGAGATGATCGATGAAAGCCCACCTGAATCGGACCAGAGCCAGGAACCAGAAGGGACCTCAGAGGTCCCCTGCAGGGAGGAAGGGACCTCAGAGGACCCCGGCAGGGAGGAAGGGACCTCAGAGGACCCCTGCAGGGAGGAAGGGACCTCAGAGGACCCCGGCAGGGAGGAAGGGACCTCAGAGGACCGCAGGCAGAGCCAGAGCGAGGGGGAGAATGAGGGGGAGGCAGAGGGGGAGAATGTAGGGGAGGGGGAGGGAGAGGATGAGGGGGAGGCAGAGGATGAGGGGGAGGCAGAGGGGGAGATTGGAGGGGAGGGGGAAAGGGGTGATGAAGGGGAGGCAGCCCAGAAGGGGGAAATTGTAGAGGGGGACGTAAAGTGGAAAGATGAGGGGGAGATTATAGGGGAGGGGAAGGGGGAGGATGAGGGGAAAGGGGAGGGGGAGGCAGACCAGGAGGGGGAGATTTTCAGGGAGGAGGGGAGGTAAAAGGGGAGGATGAGGGAGAGGATAATGGGGAGGCACTCACAAAGACAGGGAGAGAGAGGGTGGAGGAGTGACATCATCACAGTGGAGTGACATCATCACAGTGGAGTGACATCATCACAGTGGAGTGACATCACATGGCATCTTTGGCCAAAGAAGGAAGATGTAGAGAGGCCTGTGATTGGACAGCTGCTGAGGTGGGCGGGGCTGTGACTGACTGATACATGCTGGAGCCTCATAGGAAGGTTCTGGACGAGTTTCATGATGGTTTGTTACCATGGTAACCATCAGAGCAGCAGAATGGCGCCCCGGCCCCTGCTGGTGTTCCTTCATTTCCAGTAAATAAATCACCTTGAAACTCAGAACCAGAACCGATGCTTCAGCCACTGAAAACTCTGACGTCTGATTGGTCGAGAGTTTAGAATGAGCCAATCAGCTGCTGCTCCTTTGTAACATTTCCTGTTTTTTAAACGTAATGAATCAAATGTCGTCACTTTGATGTAAAGTTTTAGGATTCTGCTGAAAATTATTTTAATATAAATTATTGTTTCTGACTGCAAAGGGGGCGGGGCTCCGCATAGTTTGGACCAATGAGAGGAAAGCTCTTTTAACCGTAATTATTAATATATTTACTCTTCTCTTCTGTGAACTGTACCATTAGAAAAGGTAACGACTGTGATGTCACGAGTCTGTGACATCACCAGCTGAGTTTCCATGGAGATGTGTAGTGAGTAGCTTGTGCTGCTTCTGTAAACACAATCAATTAAAAATGCTAAAAGCGTTTATTTTCCTCATTTTCTTCTTTTTATGGAGGAAGTTTACAAAAAAATGTAGTGGATGCAGCAGCTGAGCAGAGAGCAGGAGCATCATCATCTTCATCATCTTCATCATCTGCTGGGCACTTTAAAACAGCCACAGCTGAAAACAAAAGAATAGATACAGTAGAAAGATTTAAAATAAAGCAATATCGAGATTGGTTCAACTAAATAAGGTCACATTAACTAAGTGGCTCCAATGAGGTCCTGACTGTCTGCTGAGATGGTCTGTAGGAGTCAGAGGATGGTCCTCTCTGGAATCTGCATGTCTATGAGAAGATAAAGACCTGCTGTAACATCCACCATCAGCTGGTTCCTCATCCAACCATATTTACCCCTCTTTGGGCACCAGGGGGCAGCAGAGGCACCTGTTCTGGATGGAGACAGGTCAAGTATCATCGTTGGTAGACTCTCTCTCTCAGGTTTTCGTTATTCTATTGGGCATATATCTGCGTTTTAATAAAGAATTTATGACCTCAGATCTGATGTCTAAATGCTAAGAATAAACCAAAAGGTTTTTATAGTTCAAGATTAGAGCTCTGCTGCTCTGCTAGAGAACAATGAACAGAAAAAATGCTTTGGGGTTATTTCCACATGGGCACAGACGAAAATGAGCGGACGTGAATACAGCGTAGAAATGACAATAGAACGCCCTAGATATTTGCCTCTCCACCTGCAGCCAGAGAAAGAAACCAACCAGACGCCTCCAACCAGAGCTGATCTGTGGCTGTCCCACTTCCTGTGAGATCGTAAAGCACAATCATTGTGCAAAGCTTAGTATTTTATAAACACGGCAAAATCCTTGATCGTTTGTGAATTTAGTGAACTGAGGCGGAAGCATTTCTTTTAAGAAATAATGTTCAAATTTATTTAACGTCCTTGGACGGAGAGAGATAGAGCTCTCTAACTGAGAGTACATACGTTTATACCTTAAAGACACACACTCCCCCCAGAGGAATGGACCCACCCCCTAAATAAAGAACTTTCTCACACTTGAACATTTGGTTATTCACAAGAAAAAACACTTCAATTTATCAAGGACATCAATTTTAGCCAGAAAAGCAACACTGCAGGTTTTCTGCCTCAAGTTTCTTTTCTAAAGGTTCGGCTTTACGATCAAGCGGAAGCAATTCCGCACAAATATATTGCGATATAATATATCTGACCAAATTGTTTTTTATAAACTTTTTTGTCTTTAAATTAGGCATTTTAAATGCCACCAATAATCACATTTATTAAGTTTTAAGTTTTAATGCCAATTAACCTTCCTATGGTGTTAGGGTCCCTACGGACCCGTTTTGAGTTTTAGCATGCATAAAAGTACTTCATACATTTTTTCTTTGCGTTGAAACTTTTTGACTTTGTCAAGGACTTCCATTTAAACAAAGTAAAATCTAATTTTATTTTTTTACTAAATTATAAAGTGCTCTGGTGAAAAAACTGACTTTTGTGGTGTTTGGGTCATTTGTGACCCGGTTAAAATTTTTGATCTTAAAACAATAAAAAATGCCTAAAATGTAATCATGAACACACAATCAACCAACAGCCTCTTCTTCCAACCACTTGAGCTTAATTTAGGGCCTTTTGTCTTTGCCTTTTTGCGAGAACAAACAAAGGGAGACATGTCCAGGCTTGTCAAGCCATTAGAGTGTAGAGGTGGTGACTTGAGGAGTACACATCACCAATTCACATAATGCAACAATAAGGAGAAGAATCACTGTAAATAAAGCTTTGGATCACATCTTTGCTGCACATGAGGCAGAGGACACGCAGGATTTTAGCGATGGAGATGAGCAGGCCTCTGAGAACGGGCGCTTTGGACCTTTCAGATGATCTCAAGAGTCCTCAGATTTGACAATCGATACACCAGAGCAAAATCTGACAAGCTTGCTCCCATCAGGGATGTTTGGGAGAGATGGGTGCAACTCCTTCAACTGATGTTCAATCCAGGGCCAGAGGTGACAGTGGATGAACGTTTTCTCCCTTTTCGAGGAAAATGCCCGTTCCGGCAATACATGCCCAGCAAGCCAGGCAAATATGGCATAAAAATCTGGGCAGCCTGTGATGCTACAACAAGCTATGCGTGGAACCTACAGATTTACACAGGAAAATCTGCAAGCGGCATCCTTGAAAAAAACCAAGGAAAACGGGTAGTCCTCGATTTGACTACTGGACTGCAGGGTCACAACATCACTTGTGACAATTTTTTTACATGCTATGACCTTGGACAAGAACTTCTCAGGAGGAAACTCACCATGGTGGGCACCATAAAAAAAAATAAACCTGAGCTGCCCGCTGAAATGTGGCTGGTGAAGGACAGGAGGAGAGGACAATCTGGACAAGCTGACTGCCACCGACACTTGCCAGCGAATGACCAGGAGGTGGCCAATGGTTGTGTTTTACAACATCCTCAATGTGTCTGCATACAATGCATTTATGTTGTGGACCCATATTCACCAAGGGTGGAATTCAACCCAAAACACTAAGCGGAGAATGTTTCTTGAGGAGCTCGGGAATTCCCTTGTCAAGCCGGACATTGAGCAACGGGAACGGGTGCCCCGAGACCCAGCTACTGCAGACTTGGTCAGACAGCTGCAGTGGTCACCAAACATGCCATCCACATCCACAGCAACAAGAAGAGTATCAGCATCAACTTCCCCCTCTGCAGCCAGCCCTGCCTCAAGCACTCCATCCACAGCCACAATGCCAGTGAGACCACCTCGCTCAAAAAGAAAGAGATGTCAGGTCTGCCCTAGAAATATGGACAGAAAAACCTACACAGTGTGCTTCACCTGCAACAAATATATCTGCAAAGAACACGCTAAAAGTGTAAATATACACAAATATAAATATTGTATTCAAGTTCTATTGAAAAAAGACTTGTTTTTACCCTTTTCTTGAAGTAAATATATACGGGTCCAAAATGACCCGAAACACCATAGATGTTACTATATTTGATAATATTAAAATTAAAATCTTTTTTTTGTTGAACATTTATGAAATGTGTTTTAATATCTCTCAGTTGCACTCAGGTAACAAAACAACTGATTATTTTGTTGCCTTCTTCTCTTAAGGTTCATTTCACCACTTTTTAGACATTGAAAACGAGGGGTATGCTGCTAAAACAAAGGCCCAGGGGGCCAAAAAAAATATTAAAACCAATCTTTTCATAGATAAGGGAGCCAAATCAGTTAAACAAGAGTTAAGAAAAACATTGGATGATAAAAGATTGTTTTTAGGGTATTTTATTGCTGATTTAATACTTGGGTCCAAAATGACCCGCTAACACTACAGATGGCAGCAGAAAGCTAACACAAGAGGAAGGTTAAGGCCTTAACGTTAAAAATAAAATTTTTATGGCTTTTAATGATTTTGATGACCTGCTTAAACCCTGTTATTGCAGAAGTGGTCATAATGTGGACATTAGAAGAAGTGTATATTAACAGAAATGTAAGAGCCATGTGATCAAAATAAGCAATCACTAATGTGACACGGCTTTGACACCTGGGTGGGGGGGCGTCTAATATGAATGGGAGTCATTCTGGCGCGCTGAATATGTATGAATGAGGAAGCGGGTGCGCCGGTGGTGGTCGTAATTTCTGTTGACCGTGTTATATTGTCGCTTTATTTTTAGCATCATAGAATGGTTTAGCCTGGTCAGTCTGTGTCAGTCAATGTAAAGTCTGGATTATGACGGCAAATGGAATAAATTATTGATTGCAATTACCAGAAGGGGCTTGGGGTGTTTTGAAGCGCTGACAGATGATGAAATTACCGCGTTAACACCCCTACAACACCGCTGGTCAGCCGCGCAACTAAGAATTATTTAAAGAGTTAAGAACATAAAATACTGTACTGTTGTGCTTTTGCAATATGGCATTGAATGTGAAGAAATAACAGTATTTTGTCATAAGCAGCATATTGCTCCTCATTAATAATGGAGAATAAGAATAATTCTAGATATCGTTTTAATACAGTTTTATAAATATGATTGATCTTATAAAAAATAAGATCATTAGCACTCCTCTATCCACCATTGGTTTGTCTCTGGAGGGGGGGGGGGGGGGGGGGGGGGGGGGGGGGCAGCATCTGAGGTAGTCATGGAATCTGAACCGGGTTTAGACTGCTTTGATCCAGTTTAACTTTCAGAGTTAACAAAATTATTGTCTTCATCTAAGCCTTCAACTTGGATGTTAGATCCAGTTCCAACCAGGTTATTTAAGGAGGTATTCCCTTTGATCTCCTCCTCCATTTTAGATGTGATTAATCTATCTCTGTTACAGGGATATGTACCTAAAGCTTTTAAGGTTGCTGGAATTAAACCTCTGCTTAAGAAACCGTCTCTTGACCCAGATGACTTGGTCAATTATAGACCTATATCCAATCTTCCTTTCTGATCTAAAATCCTTGAGAAAGTAGTTGCCAAAGAAGTGTGTGATCACTTACACCACAATTCACTTTTTGAAGAGTTTCAGTCTAATTTTAGAGCTCACCTTAGCACTGAAACAGCTCTGGAGAAAGTCACTAATGATATTCTAATGGCCTCAGATAATGCCCTTGTTTCTCTACTTATTCTGTCAGATCTCAGTGCTGCATTTGATACAGTTGATCATAATATTCTTTTAGAAAGACTTGAATATATTTTTAGGGATTGCGGTAACTGCATTAGACTGGTTCAAATTTTTTTTATCTGACAAATCTGTGTTTGTTCATGTTAATGATAACTCTTCCTCATGCTCCAGGGTTACCTGTAGAGTACCACAAGGATCAGCGCTAGGTCCAATTCTCTTTACTGTATATATGCTCCCAATTGGTAGAGTTATTAGACAGCATGGGATTAATTTCCACTGTTATGCTGATGATACCCAGCTATATCTGTCTATAAATCCAGATGAAGCTAACCCATTACATAGATTACAGGCATGTCTGAAGACAGAAAAACCTGGATGACTCTTAACTTTCTGCTTCTGAATGCAGACAAAACAGAAGTTATGCCACCAGTTGGAGTTGGAACCAGTTCCTCCTGATCTGGTACCTGACTCCACCTGCTTCCCCTGAGGCTCTGCCTACGTCGAGCTGAGCTCATCTTCTAAACACGTTTCCTTCCTTCTTCTCTCTGGAACCGAGCTGTAGGACAATGAGGTCCAGTTTAAACTTTTCGTTTTTTCTAAAAGACTTCCCAGTTTTTGGTACTTTCCTTCTCAATTTATTGCAGGTAGCTATTTTTTTCCCCTGGAAACCAGAAACTTCCCAGCAGAGATACTGGGAGCAGATCTGAGAGGTTTAGCTGGATGTTGTTGTTTGTTATTTCTACACTCTAAAACATTCTGGGCCATTTCTATATGGAGATTTTTCTTCCACAACAGAGAGAAGCAGGGAGAGCTGCAGATTTAAAGGGGAAACAGATTTACTGGGAAATGCAACATTCAATAAAATATATCTCCAAGTTTACTGAAAGTTTACAGGAAAGAAAATGCTTTGCTTTATTTAAAATGTACCATAACCAGAAATTTCTGGATGGCTGGAAATGAAAATGTAAATTCTAGGGATGCATGATTTATCCATTTTGGCATCAGAATCTGCTGTTATTTGTTATTTCTTTATTCATTAGTGTTTTGGGCCCTTTATATATATATAATGCACTATAAGGCGTCTCTCTATCATCTATAAATAGAAATATCAGAGTAATGTGGTTCTATTGTGTTCTCTACAATAGGAAATAATTTAATAAATAGATGTTTGAGCTCATTTTAGAAAAATACAGAAATACAAAAACCTAATGAAAGAGTTACTGTAGGTCCATGAGCCCCCACCCTTAGAGCGCCTCCACCATTAGAGCGCCTCCACCCTTAGAGCGCCTCCACCATTAGAGCGCCTCCACCCTTAGAGCTCCTCCACCCTTAGAGCGCCTCCACACTTAGAGCGCCTCCACCATTAGAGCGCCCCCACCCTTAGAGCGCCCCCACCCTTAGAGCGCCTCCACCATTAGAGCGCCTCCACCCTTAGAGCGCCTCCACCCTTAGAGCGCCTCCACCATTAGAGCGCCCCCACCCTTAGAGCGCCCCCACCCTTAGAGCGCCTCCACCCTTAGAGCGCCTCCACCATTAGAGCGCCCCCACCCTTAGAGCGCCTCCACCCTTAGAGCGCCTCCACCATTAGAGCGCCTCCACCATTAGAGCGCCCCCACCCTTAGAGCGCCCTCCACCATTAGAGCGCCCCCACCCTTAGAGCGCCCCCACCCTTAGAGCGCCCTCCACCATTAGAGCGCCCCACCCTTAGAGCGCCCCCACCCTTAGAGCGCCTCCACCCTTAGAGCGCCTCCACCATTAGAGCGCCTCCACCCTTAGAGCGCCTCCACCCTTAGAGCGCCTCCACCATTAGAGCGCCTCCACCCTTAGAGCGCCTCCACCCTTAGAGCGCCTCCACCCTTAGAGCGCCTCCACCCTTAGAGCGCCTCCACAATTAGAGCGCCTCCACCCTTAGAGCGCCTCCACCCTTAGAGCGCCTCCACCATTAGAGCGCCTCCACCCTTAGAGCGCCTCCACCATTAGAGCGCCCCCACCCTTAGAGCGCCTCCACCATTAGAGCGCCTCCACCCTTAGAGCGCCTCCACCATTAGAGCGCCTCCACCCTTAGAGCGCCTCCACCATTAGAGCGCCCCCACCCTTAGAGCGCCTCCACCATTAGAGCGCCTCCACCCTTAGAGCGCCTCCACCCTTAGAGCGCCTCCACCATTAGAGCGCCCCCACCCTTAGAGCGCCCCCACCCTTAGAGCGCCTCCACCATTAGAGCGCCCCCACCCTTAGAGCGCCCCCACCCTTAGAGCGCCTCCACCATTAGAGCGCCTCCACCCTTAGAGCGCCTCCACCCTTAGAGCGCCTCCACCATTAGAGCGCCCCCACCCTTAGAGCGCCCCCACCCTTAGAGCGCCTCCACCATTAGAGCGCCCCCACCCTTAGAGCGCCCCCACCCTTAGAGCGCCTCCACCCTTAGAGCGCCTCCACCATTAGAGCGCCTCCACCCTTAGAGCGCCTCCACCCTTAGAGCGCCTCCACCATTAGAGCGCCTCCACCCTTAGAGCGCCTCCACCCTTAGAGCGCCTCCACCCTTAGAGCGCCTCCACCCTTAGAGCGCCTCCACCCTTAGAGCGCCTCCACAATTAGAGCGCCTCCACCCTTAGAGCGCCTCCACCCTTAGAGCGCCTCCACCATTAGAGCGCCTCCACCCTTAGAGCGCCTCCACCATTAGAGCGCCCCCACCCTTAGAGCGCCTCCACCATTAGAGCGCCTCCACCCTTAGAGCGCCCCCACCCTTAGAGCGCCTCCACCATTAGAGCGCCTCCACCCTTAGAGCGCCTCCACACTTAGAGCGCCTCCACCATTAGAGCGCCCCCACCCTTAGAGCGCCCCCACCCTTAGAGCGCCTCCACCATTAGAGCGCCTCCACCCTTAGAGCGCCTCCACCCTTAGAGCGCCTCCACCATTAGAGCGCCTCCACCCTTAGAGCGCCTCCACCATTAGAGCGCCTCCACCCTTAGAGCGCCTCCACCCTTAGAGCGCCTCCACCATTAGAGCGCCTCCACCCTTAGAGCGCCTCCACCCTTAGAGCACCTCCACCATTAGAGCTCCTCCACACTTAGAGCGCCTCCACCATTAGAGCGCCTCCACCCTTAGAGCGCCTCCACCCTTAGAGCGCCTCCACCATTAGAGCGCCTCCACCATTAGAGCGCCTCCACACTTAGAGCGCCTCCACCCTTAGAGCGCCTCCACCATTAGAGCGCCTCCACCCTTAGAGCGCCTCCACCCTTAGAGCGCCTCCACCATTAGAGCGCCTCCACCATTAGAGCGCCTCCACCCTTAGAGCGCCCCCACCCTTAGAGCGCCTCCACCCTTAGAGCACCTCCACCATTAGAGCTCCTCCACACTTAGAGCGCCTCCACCCTTAGAGCGCCTCCACCATTAGAGCGCCTCCACCCTTAGAGCGCCCCCACCCTTAGAGCGCCCCCACCCTTAGAGCGCCTCCACCATTAGAGCGCCTCCACACTTAGAGCGCCTCCACCCTTAGAGCGCCTCCACCATTAGAGCGCCTCCACCCTTAGAGCGCCTCCACCCTTAGAGCACCTCCACCATTAGAGCTCCTCCACACTTAGAGCGCCTCCACCCTTAGAGCGCCTCCACCATTAGAGCGCCTCCACCCTTAGAGCGCCTCCACAATTAGAGCGACTCCACCCTTAGGGCGCCTCCACCCTTAGAGCGCCTCCACAATTAGAGCGACTCCACCCTTAGAGCACCTCCACCCTTAGAGCGCCTCCACAATTAGAGCGACTCCACCCTTAGAGCGCCTCCACCCTTAGAGCACCTCCACCCTTAGAGCGCCTCCACCCTTAGAGCGCCTCCACAATTAGAGCGACTCCACCCTTAGGGCGCCTCCACCCTTAGAGCGCCTCCACCCTTAGAGCGCCTCCACAATTAGAGCGACTCCACCCTTAGGGCGCCTCCACCATTAGAGCACCTCCACCCTTAGAGCGCCTCCACAATTAGAGCGACTCCACCCTTAGGGCGCCTCCACCCTTAGAGCACCTCCACCCTTAGAGCGCCTCCACAATTAGAGCGACTCCACCCTTAGGGCGCCTCCACCCTTAGAGCGCCTCCACCCTTAGAGCGCCTCCACAATTAGAGCGACTCCACCCTTAGAGCACCTCTCTCTTTAGAGCTCCTCCACACTTAGAGCGCCTCCACCTTTAAAACTTCTCCACCATTAGTGCGCCTCCACCCTTACAGCGCCCCCACCCTTAGAGCGCCTCTCTCTTTAGAGCGCCTCCACCCTTAGAGCGCCTCCACCATTAGAGCGCCTCCACCCTTAGAGCGCCTCCACACTTAGAGCGCCTCCACCCTTAGAGCGCCTCCACCATTAGAGCGCCTCCACCCTTAGAGCGCCTCCACCATTAGAGCGCCTCCACACTTAGAGCGCCTCCACCCTTAGAGCGCCTCCACACTTAGAGCGCCTCCACCATTAGAGCGCCTCCACCATTAGAGCGCCTCCACCCTTAGAGCGCCTCCACCCTTAGAGCGCCTCCACCATTAGAGCGCCCCCACCCTTAGAGCGCCCCCACCCTTAGAGCGCCTCCACCCTTAGAGCGCCTCCACCATTAGAGCGCCCCCACCCTTAGAGCGCCTCCACCCTTAGAGCGCCTCCACCCTTAGAGCGCCTCCACCATTAGAGCGCCCCCACCCTTAGAGCGCCCCCACCCTTAGAGCGCCTCCACCATTAGAGCGCCCCACCCTTAGAGCGCCCCCACCCTTAGAGCGCCTCCACCCTTAGAGCGCCTCCACCATTAGAGCGCCTCCACCCTTAGAGCGCCTCCACCCTTAGAGCGCCTCCACCATTAGAGCGCCTCCACCCTTAGAGCGCCTCCACCCTTAGAGCGCCTCCACCCTTAGAGCGCCTCCACCCTTAGAGCGCCTCCACAATTAGAGCGCCTCCACCCTTAGAGCGCCTCCACCCTTAGAGCGCCTCCACCATTAGAGCGCCTCCACCCTTAGAGCGCCTCCACACTTAGAGTGCCTCCACCCTTAGAGCGCCTCCACCCTTAGAGCACCTCCACCCTTAGAGCGCCTCCACACTTAGAGCGCCTCCACCCTTAGAGCGCCTCCACCCTTAGAGCACCTCCACCCTTAGAGCGCCTCAACACTTAGAGCGCCTCCACCATTAGAGCTCCTCCACCCTTAGAGCGCCTCCACCATTAGAGCGCCTCCACCCTTAGAGCGCCTCCACACTTAGAGTGCCTCCACCCTTAGAGCGCCTCCACCCTTAGAGCACCTCCACCCTAAGAGCGCCTCCACAATTAGAGCGACTCCACCCTTAGGGCGCCTCCACCCTTAGAGCACCTCCACCCTTAGAGCGCCTCCACAATTAGAGCGACTCCACCCTTAGAGCGCCTCCACCCTTAGAGCGCCTCCACCCTTAGAGCACCTCCACCCTTAGAGCGCCTCCACAATTAGAGCGCCTCCACAATTAGAGCGACTCCACCCTTAGGGCGCCTCCACCCTTAGAGCGCCTCCACCCTTAGAGCACCTCCACCCTTAGAGCGCCTCCACCCTTAGAGCGACTCCACCCTTAGGGCGCCTCCACCCTTAGAGCGCCTCCACCCTTAGAGCGCCTCCACAATTAGAGCGACTCCACCCTTAGGGCGCCTCCACCCTTAGAGCGCCTCCACAATTAGAGCGACTCCACCCTTAGGGCGCCTCCACCCTTAGAGCGCCTCCACCCTTAGAGCGCCTCCACAATTAGAGCGCCTCCACAATTAGAGCGCCTCCACCCTTAGAGCGCCTCCACCCTTAGAGCGCCTCCACAATTAGAGCGACTCCACCCTTAGGGCGCCTCCACCCTTAGAGCGCCTCCACCCTTAGAGCGCCTCCACAATTAGAGCGCCTCCACACTTAGAGCGCCTCCACCATTAGAGCGCCTCCACCCTTACAGCGCCCCCACCCTTAGAGCGCCTCTCTCTTTAGAGCGCCTCCACCCTTAGAGCGCCTCCACCATTAGAGCGCCTCCACCCTTAGAGCGACTCCACCCTTAGAGCGCCTCCACCCTTAGAGCGCCTCCACCCTTAGAGCGCCTCCACCATTAGAGCGCCTCCACCCTTAGAGCGACTCCACCCTTAGAGCGCCTCCACCCTTAGAGCGCCTCCACCATTAGAGCGCCTCCACCCTTAGAGCGACTCCACCCTTAGAGCGCCTCCACCCTTAGAGCGCCTCCACCCTTAGAGCGCCTCCACCAATAGAGCGCCTCCACCCTTAGAGCGCCTCCACCCTTAGAGCGCCTCCACCCTTAGAGCGCCTCCACCCTTAGAGCGCCTCCACCCTTAGAGCGCCTCCACCCTTAGAGCGCCTCCACAATTAGAGCGCCTCCACAATTAGAGCGCCTCCACCCTTAGAGCGCCTCCACCCTTAGAGCGCCTCCACAATTAGCGCGACTCCACCCTTAGGGCGCCTCCACCCTTAGAGCGCCTCCACCCTTAGAGCGCCTCCACAATTAGAGCGCCTCCACACTTAGAGCGCCTCCACCATTAGAGCGCCTCCACCCTTACAGCGCCCCCACCCTTAGAGCGCCTCTCTCTTTAGAGCGCCTCCACCCTTAGAGCGCCTCCACCATTAGAGCGCCTCCACCCTTAGAGCGACTCCACCCTTAGAGCGCCTCCACCCTTAGAGCGCCTCCACCCTTAGAGCGCCTCCACCATTAGAGCGCCTCCACCCTTAGAGCGACTCCACCCTTAGAGCGCCTCCACCCTTAGAGCGCCTCCACCATTAGAGCGACTCCACCATTAGAGCGCCTCCACCCTTAGAGCGCCTCCACCCTTAGAGCGCCTCCACCATTAGAGCGCCTCCACACTTAGAGTGCCTCCACCTTTAAAACTTCTCCACCATTAGTGCGCCTCCACCCTTAGAGCATCCCCACCCTTAGAGCGCCTCCACCCTTAGAGCGCCTCCACCCTTAGAGCGCCTCCACCCTTAGAGCGCCTCCACAATTAGAGCGCCTCCACAATTAGAGCGCCTCCACCCTTAGAGCGCCTCCACCCTTAGAGCGCCTCCACAATTAGCGCGACTCCACCCTTAGGGCGCCTCCACCCTTAGAGCGCCTCCACCCTTAGAGCGCCTCCACAATTAGAGCGCCTCCACAATTAGAGCGCCTCCACCATTAGAGCGCCTCCACCCTTACAGCGCCCCCACCCTTAGAGCGCCTCTCTCTTTAGAGCGCCTCCACCATTAGAGCGCCTCCACCATTAGAGCGCCTCCACCCTTAGAGCGACTCCACCCTTAGAGCGCCTCCACCCTTAGAGCGCCTCCACCCTTAGAGCGCCTCCACCATTAGAGCGCCTCCACCCTTAGAGCGACTCCACCCTTAGAGCGCCTCCACCCTTAGAGCGCCTCCACCATTAGAGCGACTCCACCATTAGAGCGCCTCCACCCTTAGAGCGCCTCCACCCTTAGAGCGCCTCCACCATTAGAGCGCCTCCACACTTAGAGTGCCTCCACCTTTAAAACTTCTCCACCATTAGTGCGCCTCCACCCTTAGAGCTCCTCCACCCTTAGAGCGACTCCACCCTTAGAGCGCCTCCACCCTTAGAGCGCCTCCACCCTTAGAGTGCCTCCACCTTTAAAACTTCTCCACCATTAGTGCGCCTCCACCCTTAGAGCATCCCCACCCTTAGTGCCTCCACCAACTTTCACACCCTTGTATGACTTCCTTAGTAACTGAACCGGATTGCTCTCCAGTCCTCCAATCAGGGACCTGGTTCTGGTCCAATCAGGCTGCAGATGTTCTCCATGTTCTCCAGCCTGACCGTTCCTGTCTGGATGCTGGCAGCATGTTTGGTTTTTACTGCCTGCTGTAAAATGAATCAGGGACAATAAAGAGGAACGGACCCTGAACCTTGAAGTCCGATCGGCAGCATGAAGGTGAATGTTTGAGAGAAAGAGGAAGTGACGTCTGATCCCACCTGCTGCTCAATCTGCAGACCTGAACTCTGGGTCAGAGTCCCGTACCAGATCAGGGGAACCAAGAGAAGAGTCTGGATCAGGGTGAGTGTTCTGCTTGTTTTCCTCTCTCTGTGGACAGAACCAGAACTAGGCTGCTGGTTTCATGTAGCTGTGCTTCTGATTAGGGTCTGATTTCCTGTTTATCACCAACAAATTCTTAGTTTTCTTTCCTTGTTTCTTTTCTTCAGACAATAACTAAACTTAGGTAAAGAGGATAAGATAAAGCTAAAGTTCTGCAGCGGTTCTGATGAACAGATAAAGGTTCTTCTGTTTCCTCCTCATGTTATTAGGTAATGCTGATGCCTCAAACTCAGAGCCTGTTTTTAGATGCAGCATTGAGCTGAACTGGGAGAACTGGTTTCCAGGATCAAACTCTGAAGATTCTGATGAAGCTGCTCAATAAAAACTGAAACAGAAAAAACATAATTTGTTCTTAGCTGGTTTCTGAAATACAAGGAGCTTCCTGTGTGGCTGCAGGAACTGGTTATCAGTAACAACAACAAGAGTGTAACAAACCTTCAAAATGAAAACTTTCCCTCTATTTCAGATTCCCTAACTCTACTTTTAAAACATTCTGGTTCAGAATCAGTGAGGTCTGGTTAGATCACAGCAGTAATTTAGTGTCTGGATCAGCAGCATGTTCGTTACATACCCAGCATGCTCCAGGTGTTCTAGCACTGTGACCCCCAACCATTTATGCAACATTGACCAGTTTAATGTCGGACAAAGGCTGTTCTTCAATCTGTGTTCTTCTCCGTTCTCATGTACTTGTAAGGCATCATCAGCCTCAGCCCTAGTAGTGAAATTCTATTCAGTTCATTTCTATAGCTCCAATTCACATCATGTCATCTCAGGTCACTTTATAGATCCAGTTCAACCAGATCATCCAGTCAGATTGATTCAAAGTTTTCTATCTAAGGAAAACCAGCTGATTGCATCGACTCATTGACTCTTCAGCAATCCCTCACACTAAGCATGCTTGTAGCGACAGTGGAGAGGAAAAACTCCCTTTGAACAGGAAGAAACGTCCAGCAGAACCAGGCTCAGTGTGAGCGGCCATCTGCTGAGGCCCACTGGGGTTCAAGGAGACAGAAGCAGACATAGAAAAAGAAGCGTAGATACAAAAGGCAACTGTCAACCAGCTCCACAGGCGGCCCAGTCCAGGAAACACACAGCCAGGCAGACGAGCTCCGAGCCAGCTCCCATGTCAGAGGATGAAGAGAGCACATCCAGTTAGTCACAGTCAGAGAAACAGGACTACACTGGAAAACAGGCCAAGCTCCAACATCTAGAAACAAAGGTGTTGATGGCAGCAGCACAGCTGATATTTCTCTCCAGGATGGAGTCACAGCCAAACAGGAACAGACCAGATGAAGCTACTATGAGAAAAAGCAGAGAGAGCAGAACGTTAGAGATTGAACTAACAGATTCTGCAGAGTGGGAGAATAGAGATAGAATGAAGCAGAATGATGAAAAAGGGGTCCCTATGTCCTCCAGCAGTCTAAGCCTATAGCAGCAGAACTATAGAGATAGCTCAGGATAACCTGAGCCACTCCTAACTAGAAGCTTTATCAAAAAGGAAAGTTTTAAGCCTAGCCTTAAAAGTAGACAGGGTGTCTGCCTCACGGACTAAAACTGGTAGTTGGTTCCACAGGAGAGGAGCCTGAGAACTAAAAGATCTGCCTCCCATTCTACTTTTAGAAATTCTAGGAACCACTAGTAAACCTGCAGATTGAGAGCGAAGTGCTCTGTTAGGAACATCAGGAACAATCAGATCTCTGATATCAGATGGAGCTTGGCCATTTAAGGCTTTATATGTGAGAAGGAGGATTTTAAATTCTATTCTGGATTTAACAGGAAGCCAATGAAGAGAAGCCAGGATAGGAGAGATATGATCTCTCTTTTTCATTTTCATCAGAACTCTGGCTGCAGCATTTTGGATCAGCTGAAGGCTTTTAACTACAGTTTGTGGACTTCCTGATAGTAAAGAATTACAATAGTCCAGCCTTGAAGTAACAAATGCATGGACTAGTTTCTCAGTTTAACTGTTTGATACAAAAATAATATTTCTTCAAAGGTTTAGGTAGTTTAGCTAGGTTTATTAGCTTTTGCAAGAGAAATACAGTGTTTTACTGATTTGGAGAAAGATTTTCCTATTTGCATGTAGAGTTTTGCAAAAATAGCCAATTGTGCTTCGGTCACCAGAAAAAATGTAATTAATATTTCCGGCGGTGGCTGCAGCTTGTTTATACTATTTTTCAAGAAACATATTAACCGTTCGGCAGGTGTTCGGCTTAATTTAATAGGTTTGTGCAACAAAATGAGCTCAAATGCAGGTTATTAACATAAGGCCCAAAAGAAATAGAGGATCAATTATTTTTCCTGCCTCAGAGATTTGAAATTTGATCCCAAATAGGAGTAAAAGCCTGGAGCAAGACCCAAAGTTACACATAAAGGAGGGCTTTTTGCTTTACGAACTGTCTGGGAGAAACTAGAACAAGGCAAAGCAGTTTGTCTCTAAAGCACAAAACAGTACAAAGACATTTCAAAGTGCTTTTTATGAATTAGACAAGAAAAAAAAGAAAGACCAAAGCAGAATAAAAGCAATGAGATAAAAACATAAAATCATGGTAGTAAAGCAAATCAATCAGTTGGATTAGAACTAATGATTCCTTAGTTAACAGTTTAAGTTCAAAGGTCAAAGGAAGCCATAAACTAATGGGATTATAGATGCCAATGAACTGATAAACAGTCATATGGTTGGACTGTAGCTAATTAAACATTAAAGAAATATCCGACACAGATCAAGGACGTTTAAAAAACAATGTCTTGGTGAAGATAAGGATCCACCACGTAAACCATTGGCTCTGATGTAAAGATTATGTATAATTGTATTTAAATAAAGAAAAGACAACAACAAAAGCATCCATTTAAATTACAGCATCCATAATAAGAGTGTATTATATCAGACTGCATCAGAAAGAGTCAACAATTGTCCATGATGCAAAGGTTTCCTCCTCTAGGATGAAAAATTCTTGACATACATTCAGAAAAACACCTTCAACTTTAGGGTTTTTACTATCAGTTTAAATCCATCCAGCTTCTGAGAGAAACGTGAAAATGTAGCGGAAAGAGGGAAGTTATGCCGAGTTCAGCACATAGATCAGAAACAGTAAGCCGAGCTTTCACAGGACTGCTGCATCCTTGCCAAAGGTAGGAGACATCAGCCGCCCCTCATCAGCACCATGGACACTCCGTCTGTCCTCCTGCATCTCATGTAAAGGAACAATGAAAAAAAGATTTTTGAGACATAAATGAATCATTAACTGTGACGTCATTATCTAGGAAGAATCAACAGAAGATTATTTCTCTTCCTTTCTCTACATTAAGTTGATCATTAGAGGGACACCATGGAACGTCTCTTATCTATTCCATTAATCAATAACAAACATAAAAAAACTGGCGTGTTTAACTACGCTCTAGTTTTCCTCTTCATCGTCATATACCCATGGTTATGGATGCCAAGCTCTGCGATGGCAGCCATGTTTTTACGTTTTGTGAAGGAACAGAAACTCAGCAAGGAAAACAAAACTGTTGGCTCTGGTCAAGGTGACTGTTACCCCCAGATTCCTCATCCTCCGTCATTGCTCCACCCTGCTCAGCTACGTCTTCTCCGTCAAAATAGAGCCAAACTATTTTTCCTCTGCTACCTTGGAAGCTGTCCAGGTTAAGATCCGCAAAAGCAATTGCACCAAACAGGAAAAAGAATGTCAAGGAAAACCAGTTTGTCACATATATGTTAACGTCAGATCTGCAACTACAAATTCAAGACAATAAATGGATTTTCTATTCTCTCTCTCTCTCTATCTATCTATCTATCTATCTATCTATCTATCTATATATATATCTATATATATATATATATATATATATATATATATATATATATATATATATATATATATATATATATATATATATATATATATATATATATATATATATATATATATATATATATATATATATTTGTATGCCTATGGATGCTACGCCCTGCTCTATCATTCCAGAAATATCCAGACTAGAAGCAGAACCACGTCCTTCTGTGGGCTAAAGTGCGAATGCATCCTGCATGGGTTTTAAACGCTCTCATTCTCCATTAAAGTTAACATAGAATTTATAGCGTTATGTACATGTAACTTAACAATTTAAATTGTATAAAAAATCCCTGAGTAAAACTCAATATTCCTCCTGATGTATTACATTTTTGATGTCACTCTATAAACTCTAGTTCTTACCGAATAATAAAAATACAGCTAAAATGATTAACTTTATGCTCATAGAGTTTATTGCACCAATAAGTCACTGTTTTAGTTAGTGAACAGTTCAGACCCAGACGGCTCCTGCTGGATTCAGGTTCCTCTGGTTCTCCACACTCATGCTGGGAATCACCTTCCTGCTGGATCTGAACTGCGGGAAACTGACTGGTTCTGGATATTTTTTTTTTCTTTCAGACATTCTGAAGTCCAAAAGATGGAGGATTTGGATTTGATCAAACCTGAACCTTCAGGATCCAGCCGTCCATCCATGAGGAGTGACCTGTCCAAAGATGTACCTCCAGACTACAGTGCAGAACCTGGAACCTCAGACATAAAGTAAGGACCCTGTTTCTAGCATGTGACTGCAGAAATAAACTCTATTCAGTAAGAACTGGTGGATCTTCAGCATCTAAAGCCAATGATCTTGTTCCAGCTTTATGCTAAATAAACATAAAGATTGTCAGTCAGTAAATCAATAGAGTTTGACCAGAGAATCACTAATGCAGGAAAACAGAAACAACCAAGAATCTGAGGAGCAACCAGATGAATAGTCTCTGTAGCGTTTGAACTAAAGGATATTCTGAAGTAGGAACACTAGACTAGCTAAAACACTTGGTTTAGTTAATCCTAATTTGGCTAGGCTTCCTGACTTCTGCACCTTTTAGATATCTCTCTGTTTCAACATAACTGAGTCAAATAACCAAATCACTAGCAGGACTTCACTACATGTTTGTTTTTCAGAGGTCACAACCGCGGGCAGAGAGCAGAATCTCCATCTATGATGAGTGACCGGTCCATTGGAGAGCAACCAGACTTCAGTGAAGAACTTGGACTCTTGAAGTAAGAAACCAGTTTCTAACTGATGAATGTTGCTCTGCAAGAATATAAGCTGTAGACTATGAGCTACTTGATCTTCAATACCTCACTGGTTTCTCATCCAAAGGGTTAAAGAGGCTTCTGTTTGGTATGATTTAGTGCGGAGAACCCGGTCATTCAAGCCGACACTCTATGATGTTTTAAGGTTTTATTGACAGGGTGAGGAAGGTAGGCAGGTCCTGGAGAACAGTCGGACTGAGCCCAACAGTTAATGGAGAGGCAGACTTGAACTGCAGGAGCTGACAGAAGTAGAATAGATTCAGTTGGTAGAGATGGTCAGATGCAGCTTGGAGCTGCCCTGAAGCCAGACATGAACAACAGCTGCCCTTAAAGTAGGTCGTGGCTTGCAGCTGCCAAGAAGGCCAGACATGGCCGGCAACTGCCCTGAAGGCCAGACATGGCCGGCAACTGCCCTGAAGGTCAGACATGGCCGGCAACTGCCCTGAAGGTCAGACATGGCTGGTAGCTGCCCTGAAGGTCAGACATGGCTGGTAGCTGCCCTGAAGGTCAGACATGGCTGGTAGCTGTCCTGAAGGTCAGACGTGGCCGGCAGCTGCTCTTAAGGTCAGACATGGCCGGCAACTGCCCTGAAGGCCAGACATGGCCGGCAACTGCCCTGAAGGTCAGACATGGCTGGTAGCTGTCCTGAAGGTCAGACGTGGCCGGCAGCTGCTCTTAAGGTCAGACATGGCCGGCAACTGCCCTGAAGGCCAGACATGGCCGGCAACTGCCCTGAAGGTCAGACATGGCCGGCAACTGCCCTGAAGGTCAGACATGGCTGGCAGCTGCTCTTAAGGTCAGACATGGCTGGTAGCTGTCCTGAAGGTCAGACATGGCTGGCAGCTGCCCTGAAGGTCAGACATGGCTGGTAGCTGCCCTGAAGGCCAGACATGGCCGGCAACTGCCCTGAAGGTCAGACATGGCTGGTAGCTGTCCTGAAGGTCAGACGTGGCCGGCAACTGCCCTGAAGGTCAGACATGGCCGGCAACTGCCCTGAAGGCCAGACATGGCCGGCAACTGCCCTGAAGGTCAGACATGGCTGGCAGCTGCTCTTAAGGTCAGACATGGCTGGTAGCTGTCCTGAAGGTCAGACATGACCGGCAACTGCCCTGAAGGCCAGACATGGCCGGCAACTGCCCTGAAGGTCAGACATGGCTGGCAGCTGCTCTTAAGGTCAGACATGGCTGGCAGCTGCCCTGAAGGTCAGACATGGCTGGTAGCTGTCCTGAAGGTCAGACGTGGCCGGCAACTGCCCTGAAGGCCAGACATGGCCGGGAGCTGCCCTGAAGGCCAGACATGACCGGCAACTGCCCTGAAGGCCAGACATGGCCGGCAACTGCCCTGAAGGTCAGACATGGCTGGTAGCTGTCCTGAAGGTCAGACGTGGCCAGCAACTGCCCTGAAGGTCAGACATGGCCGGCAACTGCCCTGAAGGTCAGACATGGCTGGCAGCTGCTCTTAAGGTCAGACATGGCTGGTAGCTGTCCTGAAGGTCAGACGTGGCCGGCAGCTGCTCTTAAGGTCAGACATGGCCGGCAACTGCCCTGAAGGCCAGACATGGCCGGCAACTGCCCTGAAGGTCAGACATGGCTGGCAGCTGCTCTTAAGGTCAGACATGGCTGGTAGCTGCCCTGAAGGTCAGACATGGCTGGTAGCTGTCCTGAAGGTCAGACATGGCTGGCAGCTGCCCTGAAGGTCAGACATGGCCGGGAGCTGCCCTGAAGGTCAGACATGGCCGGCAACTGCCCTGAAGGCCAGACATGGCCGGCAACTGCCCTGAAGGTCAGACATGGCTGGCAGCTGCTCTTAAGGTCAGACATGGCTGGTAGCTGCCCTGAAGGTCAGACATGGCTGGCAGCTGCCCTGAAGGTCAGACATGGCTGGTAGCTGCCCTGAAGGCCAGACATGGCCGGCAACTGCCCTGAAGGTCAGACATGGCTGGTAGCTGTCCTGAAGGTCAGACGTGGCCGGCAACTGCCCTGAAGGTCAGACATGGCCGGCAACTGCCCTGAAGGCCAGACATGGCCGGCAACTGCCCTGAAGGTCAGACATGGCTGGCAGCTGCTCTTAAGGTCAGACATGGCTGGTAGCTGTCCTGAAGGTCAGACATGACCGGCAACTGCCCTGAAGGCCAGAAATGGCCGGCAACTGCCCTGAAGGTCAGACATGGCTGGCAGCTGCTCTTAAGGTCAGACATGGCTGGCAGCTGCCCTGAAGGTCAGACATGGCTGGTAGCTGTCCTGAAGGTCAGACGTGGCCGGCAACTGCCCTGAAGGCCAGACATGGCCGGGAGCTGCCCTGAAGGCCAGACATGACCGGCAACTGCCCTGAAGGCCAGACATGGCCGGCAACTGCCCTGAAGGTCAGACATGGCTGGTAGCTGTCCTGAAGGTCAGACGTGGCCGGCAACTGCCCTGAAGGTCAGACATGGCCGGCAACTGCCCTGAAGGTCAGACATGGCTGGCAGCTGCTCTTAAGGTCAGACATGGCTGGTAGCTGTCCTGAAGGTCAGACGTGGCCGGCAGCTGCTCTTAAGGTCAGACATGGCCGGCAACTGCCCTGAAGGCCAGACATGGCCGGCAACTGCCCTGAAGGTCAGACATGGCTGGCAGCTGCTCTTAAGGTCAGACATGGCTGGTAGCTGCCCTGAAGGTCAGACATGGCTGGTAGCTGTCCTGAAGGTCAGACATGGCTGGCAGCTGCCCTGAAGGTCAGACATGGCCGGGAGCTGCCCTGAAGGTCAGACATGGCCGGCAACTGCCCTGAAGGCCAGACATGGCCGGCAACTGCCCTGAAGGTCAGACATGGCTGGCAGCTGCTCTTAAGGTCAGACATGGCTGGTAGCTGCCCTGAAGGTCAGACATGGCTGGCAGCTGCCCTGAAGGTCAGACATGGCTGGTAGCTGCCCTGAAGGCCAGACATGGCCGGCAACTGCCCTGAAGGTCAGACATGGCTGGTAGCTGTCCTGAAGGTCAGACGTGGCCGGCAACTGCCCTGAAGGTCAGACATGGCTGGCAGCTGCTCTTAAGGTCAGACATGGCTGGTAGCTGTCCTGAAGGTCAGACATGACCGGCAACTGCCCTGAAGGCCAGACATGGCCGGCAACTGCCCTGAAGGTCAGACATGGCTGGCAGCTGCTCTTAAGGTCAGACATGGCTGGCAGCTGCCCTGAAGGTCAGACATGGCTGGTAGCTGTCCTGAAGGTCAGACGTGGCCGGCAACTGCCCTGAAGGCCAGACATGGCCGGGAGCTGCCCTGAAGGCCAGACATGACCGGCAACTGCCCTGAAGGCCAGACATGGCCGGCAACTGCCCTGAAAGTCAGACATGGCTGGTAGCTGTCCTGAAGGTCAGACGTGGCCGGCAACTGCCCTGAAGGTCAGACATGGCCGGCAACTGCCCTGAAGGTCAGACATGGCTGGCAGCTGCTCTTAAGGTCAGACATGGCTGGTAGCTGTCCTGAAGGTCAGACGTGGCCGGCAGCTGCTCTTAAGGTCAGACATGGCCGGCAACTGCCCTGAAGGCCAGACATGGCCGGCAACTGCCCTGAAGGTCAGACATGGCTGGCAGCTGCTCTTAAGGTCAGACATGGCTGGTAGCTGCCCTGAAGGTCAGACATGGCTGGTAGCTGTCCTGAAGGTCAGACATGGCTGGCAGCTGCCCTGAAGGTCAGACATGGCCGGGAGCTGCCCTGAAGGTCAGACATGGCCGGCAACTGCCCTGAAGGCCAGACATGGCCGGCAACTGCCCTGAAGGTCAGACATGGCTGGCAGCTGCTCTTAAGGTCAGACATGGCTGGTAGCTGCCCTGAAGGTCAGACATGGCTGGCAGCTGCCCTGAAGGTCAGACATGGCTGGTAGCTGCCCTGAAGGCCAGACATGGCCGGCAACTGCCCTGAAGGTCAGACATGGCTGGTAGCTGTCCTGAAGGTCAGACGTGGCCGGCAACTGCCCTGAAGGTCAGACATGGCCGGCAACTGCCCTGAAGGCCAGACATGGCCGGCAACTGCCCTGAAGGTCAGACATGGCTGGCAGCTGCTCTTAAGGTCAGACATGGCTGGTAGCTGTCCTGAAGGTCAGACATGACCGGCAACTGCCCTGAAGGCCAGACATGGCCGGCAACTGCCCTGAAGGTCAGACATGGCTGGCAGCTGCTCTTAAGGTCAGACATGGCTGGCAGCTGCCCTGAAGGTCAGACATGGCTGGTAGCTGTCCTGAAGGTCAGACGTGGCCGGCAACTGCCCTGAAGGCCAGACATGGCCGGGAGCTGCCCTGAAGGCCAGACATGACCGGCAACTGCCCTGAAGGCCAGACATGGCCGGCAACTGCCCTGAAGGTCAGACATGGCTGGTAGCTGTCCTGAAGGTCAGACGTGGCCGGCAACTGCCCTGAAGGTCAGACATGGCCGGCAACTGCCCTGAAGGTCAGACATGGCTGGCAGCTGCTCTTAAGGTCAGACATGGCTGGTAGCTGTCCTGAAGGTCAGACGTGGCCGGCAGCTGCTCTTAAGGTCAGACATGGCCGGCAACTGCCCTGAAGGCCAGACATGGCCGGCAACTGCCCTGAAGGTCAGACATGGCTGGCAGCTGCTCTTAAGGTCAGACATGGCTGGTAGCTGCCCTGAAGGTCAGACATGGCTGGTAGCTGTCCTGAAGGTCAGACATGGCTGGCAGCTGCCCTGAAGGTCAGACATGGCCGGGAGCTGCCCTGAAGGTCAGACATGGCCGGCAACTGCCCTGAAGGCCAGACATGGCCGGCAACTGCCCTGAAGGTCAGACATGGCTGGCAGCTGCTCTTAAGGTCAGACATGGCTGGTAGCTGCCCTGAAGGTCAGACATGGCTGGCAGCTGCCCTGAAGGTCAGACATGGCTGGTAGCTGCCCTGAAGGCCAGACATGGCCGGCAACTGCCCTGAAGGTCAGACATGGCTGGTAGCTGTCCTGAAGGTCAGACGTGGCCGGCAACTGCCCTGAAGGTCAGACATGGCCGGCAACTGCCCTGAAGGCCAGACATGGCCGGCAACTGCCCTGAAGGTCAGACATGGCTGGCAGCTGCTCTTAAGGTCAGACATGGCTGGTAGCTGTCCTGAAGGTCAGACATGACCGGCAACTGCCCTGAAGGCCAGACATGGCCGGCAACTGCCCTGAAGGTCAGACATGGCTGGCAGCTGCTCTTAAGGTCAGACATGGCTGGCAGCTGCCCTGAAGGTCAGACATGGCTGGTAGCTGTCCTGAAGGTCAGACGTGGCCGGCAACTGCCCTGAAGGCCAGACATGGCCGGGAGCTGCCCTGAAGGCCAGACATGACCGGCAACTGCCCTGAAGGCCAGACATGGCCGGCAACTGCCCTGAAGGTCAGACATGGCTGGTAGCTGTCCTGAAGGTCAGACGTGGCCGGCAACTGCCCTGAAGGTCAGACATGGCCGGCAACTGCCCTGAAGGTCAGACATGGCTGGCAGCTGCTCTTAAGGTCAGACATGGCTGGTAGCTGTCCTGAAGGTCAGACGTGGCCGGCAGCTGCTCTTAAGGTCAGACATGGCCGGCAACTGCCCTGAAGGCCAGACATGGCCGGCAACTGCCCTGAAGGTCAGACATGGCTGGCAGCTGCTCTTAAGGTCAGACATGGCTGGTAGCTGCCCTGAAGGTCAGACATGGCTGGTAGCTGTCCTGAAGGTCAGACATGGCTGGCAGCTGCCCTGAAGGTCAGACATGGCTGGTAGCTGCCCTGAAGGTCAGACATGGCTGGTAGCTGTCCTGAAGGTCAGACATGGCCGGCAACTGCCCTGAAGGTCAGACATGGCTGGCAGCTGCTCTTAAGGTCAGACATGGCTGGTAGCTGTCCTGAAGGTCAGACGTGGCCGGCAGCTGCTCTTAAGGTCAGACATGGCTGGCAGCTGCTCTTAAGGTCAGACATGGCTGGTAGCTGCCCTGAAGGTCAGACATGGCTGGCAGCTGCTCTTAAGGTCAGACATGGCTGGTAGCTGCCCTGAAGGTCAGACATGGCTGGTAGCTGCCCTGAAGGTCAGACATGGCTGGTAGCTGCCCTGAAGGTCAGACATGGCTGGTAGCTGTCCTGAAGGTCAGACATGGCTGGCAGCTGCCCTGAAGGTCAGACATGGCCGGGAGCTGCCCTGAAGGTCAGACATGGCCGGCAACTGCCCTGAAGGCCAGACATGGCCGGCAACTGCCCTGAAGGTCAGACATGGCTGGCAGCTGCTCTTAAGGTCAGACATGGCTGGTAGCTGCCCTGAAGGTCAGACATGGCTGGCAGCTGCTCTTAAGGTCAGACATGGCTGGTAGCTGCCCTGAAGGTCAGACATGGCTGGTAGCTGCCCTGAAGGTCAGACATGGCTGGTAGCTGCCCTGAAGGTCAGACATGGCTGGTAGCTGTCCTGAAGGTCAGACATGGCTGGCAGCTGCCCTGAAGGTCAGACATGGCCGGGAGCTGCCCTGAAGGTCAGACATGGCCGGCAACTGCCCTGAAGGCCAGACATGGCCGGCAACTGCCCTGAAGGTCAGACATGGCTGGCAGCTGCTCTTAAGGTCAGACATGGCTGGTAGCTGCCCTGAAGGTCAGACATGGCTGGCAGCTGCCCTGAAGGTCAGACATGGCCGGCAGCTGTCCTGAAGGTCAGACATGGCTGGCAGCTGCCCTGAAGGTCAGACATGGCCGGCAACTGTCCTGAAGGTCAGACATGGCCGGCAACTGCCCTGAAGGTCAGACGTGGCCGGGAGCTGCCCAGAATAATCATTATTTTTAAAGTAAATGTTATTTTAAATATTTAAATAACAAATAATCACGGTTTCCTCTTACCACATGGTTCAAATAGTTTTTATTTTATAATCACTCGTAAACCTTATCTTGAACACACAATCTGCTGATTTGAATGTGGTGAAATTAAGCTGTTTTGCATTTCTTACAATTTGCGCATCAAGCATCAAACAAGATTATCCACAACACACCCTCTTATCGTACGACGAAAAGTACAAATACAATTTACTCCCCATTTTTTTCAGTCTTTGCTGGTCTACAAATAGTTTCTGGTTCCTTCCAGCAGGTAGAACGGGAAAAATTGAAGGACTCCTTACTACCTCCTCTGTGTCCTACCGGACGAGCAGCAGGATGTGTCACTTCAGCGGTTTAATATGTTGATTAGAAAAGAAAACTCACAGCGATTGGTCATTGCAGCTCTGTGGGGTCATTTTCTTCCCAGTCTGCGGTTCAGTTGTAGATGCCCATTGTCCTATAATCAGTCCTATATTTAGTTTTAATGGACTTGACAGCTGTTCTCTGTACATTTAACTTAGTCTCACTCTTAGCTAATCAAACCCTGTGGTTTGGACGAGCCCCCGTTATATCCGATACTGATGCACAGGATACCACCTTGTCATACAAGAATTCACAGAGTCAATGACATGTTGGACACATGTTGGCATGTGACCTGGAACATTTGAGACTTTGTTAAGGTTTTGTTCTGACCCAGCTTCTGGTTCTCTGTTTGTGGTGGACCCTCATGAACTTCAGTAGGACACCCCCACCCAGTCAGTACTTAACTACTTTACTGATGAAGAAATGTCTTTACAGAAGGAAGGAGGGGCATAAACTACAGTGTGGAAAAAGAGCAAGAACCGGACATGAAGTGCAGATTGAGAGTGTCTGTGTAGCAGGTAAGACTGAAAGTCTTCGATAAGAGCTTCCTTCTATGGTCGAAATGCATTCCTTTAGTTGAACATTTAGTTGAATTTCTGGGGTCAATTGTTTAAACTTATTATAGGATATATGTTAAGATTTACAACATGGAATCATTCTAACAATTCTCTCGAAATCAATCCTGTGTTATATCAATCGGAAATACTTCTATAAAAATATCTAATTAAGTCTCGGGAGTGAAATGTCATTTAATGAGATTTCTCTCCCTCTGCCTCTGTTTTGCCACAAAACAGAGGCAGAAATATGCTGTGTGACGAATGATCAAGCCTCTTGATATGAGAGCAATATGATCATGTAGGATCAGATAATATGAAGGAATAGACCTACTAATGATAACACCTCTGAATGTCCCGATGGTTTGGTTCCAGCATCATCACTACATACGTTTTTTTACTTCAGCCGTCTTTTCTTCTTTGTTTCAGCAGATGTTATCCTGGATAAGCTTCTAGAAGAACATAAGATCAGTCTGAGGAAGAGATGTGAACATGTGACTGAAGGAAGTGATGAAACAGGAAGTAGAACCCTCCTCAACAGGATCTACACTGATCTCTACATCACCGAGGGACAGAGTGAAGTGATTAATACCCAACATGAGGTGAAGCAGCTGGAGAGAGCTTCAATGATCCAGAACCTCCATGATTCTCCAATCAGGTGCCAGGACATCTTCAAAGCCTTACCTGACCAACAAGGAGCCATCAGAGTGGTTCTGACCAACGGTGTCGCTGGTGTTGGAAAAACCTTCTCAGTGCAGAAGTTCACTCTGGACTGGGCAGAGGACTTGGAGAACCAAGATGTCAGTGTGGTGGTTCTGCTTTCCTTCAGGGAGCTGAACCTGATCAGAGATCAGCAGCACAGTCTTCTCACGCTGCTCCATGTTTTCCATCCAACCCTCCAGAAGCTCCCAGCAGAGAAGCTGGCTGTCTGGAAGCTTCTCTTAATCTTTGACGGTCTGGATGAAAGCAGACTTTCTCTGGACTTCAACAACAGTCTGATTGTTTCTGACGTCACACAGAAGTCATCAGTCAACGTTCTGCTGATGAACCTCATCGAGGGGAACCTGCTTCCCTCGGCTCTGGTCTGGATAACTTCCAGACCTGCAGCAGCCAATCAGATCCCTCCTTCCTGTGTTTCCAGGGTAACAGAAGTACGAGGCTTCAGCGACGCCCAGAAGGAGGAGTACTTCAGGAGGAGGTTCAGTGATGAAGAGATGTCCAGCAGGATCATCTCCCACATCAGGACCTCCAGGAGCCTCCACATCATGTGTGGGATCCCAGTGTTCTGCTGGATCACTGCTACGGTTCTGGAGAACCTGTTGACCACAGAGCAGAGAGGAGAGCTGCCCAAGACCATGACTGACATGTACTCACACTTCCTGCTGGTCCAGACCAGGAGGAAGAAGAACAAGTACCATGAAGGACATCAGACGAGTCCACAGGAGCTGATGGAGGCTGACAGGGAAGTTCTCCTGAAGCTGGGGAGGCTGGCGTTCGAACATCTGGAGAAAGGAAACATCATGTTCTACCAAGAAGACCTGGAGCAATGTGGTCTGGATGTCACAGAGGCCTCCGTGTTCTCAGGAGTTTGTACAGAGATCTTCAAAAGAGAGAAGGTGATCTTCCAGAAACCAGTCTACTGCTTTGTTCACCTGAGCATCCAGGAGTTTCTGGCTGCGCTCTACATGCTCCACTGCTTCACCAGCAGGAACACAGAGGTGGTGAAGAAGTTTCTAAGACAAAAATACAGAGAATCATCACTGGATGACCTCATGAGGAGAGTCATGGAAAAGTCCCTCTGGAGTCCAAATGGCCACCTGGACCTGTTTGCTCGATTCCTTCATGGTCTCTCTGTGGATTCCAACCAGAGACTCTTAGGAGGCCTGTTGGGTCAGATGGAGAACAACCCAGAAACCATCCAGAGGATCATCAACAATTTAAAAAAGATAACCACTTCTATCTCTCCTGACAGAAGCATCAACATCTTCCAGTGTCTGATGGAGATGAAGGACCTCTCAGTTTATCGGGAGATTCAACAGTTCATGAAATCAGAGAATAGATCAGAGAAGCTCTCAGAGATCCAGTGCTCCGCTCTGGCCTACATGCTGCAGATGTCAGAGGAGGTTCTGGATGAGTTGGACCTGGAGAAGTACAACACATCAGAGGAAGGACGACGTAGACTGGTTCCAGTGGTGAGGAACTGCAGAAAGGCTCGGTGAGTCCAGGTGTCTTCATGTGGTGGTGCTGATTCAGCTCAATTGTCCTGCTGGTTCTTCGTCATGGTTCTAGTTACTTCTGGATGTTTTTGCTCTTTAACTTCTACCTTCATCCTTTGGAGTATTATAACCATTCAAACATCTACATTTTTAGCTCCTTTAGGGAGTGACAGTGAGAGCCAAATGGGTTATCTGGTATGTCAGTTTTGAAGAATGGTGTATATCCAGATGAGAAATGACAAATGCCACTTGGTAACCGGCATATGCAGTTAAGAAATGGTTCTAACATATGACGGTTCCCAACTGGCTCCTCTCATCAGTCAAGGATCTGCAGCCGGGGTTCTTTCTCCTATCGGACATCAGGAATAAAGTTTTTTTTCCCATCAGTTTTGTTCTATCAAAAAGTGAATAATTACAGAAATCACAGGTAATTCAACACATTTCTGATAATGACTGGTCAACAATTGTGTCCAATAACAAGCCAGCATTTTCATCTTTGAAGCAGCGCATTCTCAAGCTCTGGCCTTCAGCTCATGTATTATTCGGCGCAACAAGACTATCTTTACGAACTCTTACTAGTTGTCATGGTTGCGGCTTGTGGGGCTGTTACCTTCAGGAGGGCGGGGGGTGGAAAGGCAGAACAGCTTGTCCACAGGGGGCAGGATAAGGACATTTATGGTAATACTTGTCTGTCTAATCTGAGAGGAATTTTTCTGCACAAATGGCAAAAACATTCGCTGATGGGCTTATTGTTTATTCATAATTATACAGTTTCTCTTAGACATCCAATATCTCATTTACAAGAGAGATATGTATTCATAAATTCAAACATAACAACATATGAATACAAGGTCTCGGTCGGTGTGGACTGGACCACAACAGTAGGTTCCTGCTTCTTTCTGATTGGCTGTTAGAAGCAGAGAGAAGCCAAAGGTTGGAGAGAAAATGCTGATTGGTTGATTTTTGATCATCATCATAAGACACGCTGTGACTGTTGGGATTTTAGCTCCATGGACTGGATCCATTCCTTCCTCTTCCAATGGAAATGATGTTGATGAAGATCTTCTGTGGATCCAGATTGTTCCAGCAGCAGACAGCAGTCAGATCTCAGCATGAAGAAACAGGGAGGTTTGCCTACAGGTAGCCAAGACGTTAATGTAAACACAGAGCGCACCACCTTGAGTCTAGCCAATTAGTTCTTTGTTTCTATCGGCGCTCAATAGCGTGAGAACCTCAAGGCTACTAGCGTTGTCTGGTATCGAAGAATGAAGCCATAATTCAGACAGGGTGATGATGTATGAGTCGGAGATGATCTATTTTTTTATCCAGTGAGCGGCCTTTGGAGAGCATGATTGATGTAATTGGTGTTCTGTGTGGTTTCCTTCTTAGCTTTGCCGTTAGCCACTCTTGCGACGTCTCACATACCTCTTCTTTGGGTGTGGCCTGGTCATTGAGCCTGCTGTTGTTTTGTTTTCATCTATCCTTAGCAGTCCAGAGTATTATTAGAGGTCAAGAGTTGCTGTAGATCCAGGAGGCGTTGGCGGTCGTAGATGCAGGATCGATGCCTGGTTTGTAGCTTACTGAATGACATTTTTTGGAATTGTCGAGAGCTGTATTTGGTCGCTGCCACTAGGCACCGCCATGATCTTTTTTGTTTATTCTAACCAAAGCAGAGATACAGCAGGTCTGCAGCTGAACCAGGATTCAGACAGAGGACATTGATGAGAAGAGAAGATGTTCATCAGATGACTTTATTTCTCCTCTAATCACAGACTTGGTGGCTGCAGACTCTCTGAGGCTGAATGTGAAGCAGTTGTCTCAGCTCTGAAGTTCAACGTATATCTCACTCGCCTGGAAATAGAGGAGGTGTATGGATATGAATCCTTTGGAGACTCTGGTATGAAGCATCTGTGTAAGATCCTGGAGAGTTCAACCTGCATACTGAAGAAACTGAGGTTAATTTTCTATTTATTCAGTAAAAATCATTCTCTGATACTTTTTATACTGATTGAAATTAACAATTTGCTTCCAACACATGTTCTTTAAAACAGCTATCCAAATGTTGGCAGGTTTTTTACCGTGTAGATGGATTTAGTTCTGATTTCTATCTTCATGTCATAGCAAGTCATTTTACAGAAATAATTCAATCAAATCAAACACCTAGATTGATAAAAAAGTTTTCTATTAAAAGAAAGCAGATGATTGGATCCGGTCATTTATTTCTCCTTCTTGATGAGCAGCTAGAGACAGGAGATATAACTCTTCAGCAATCCCTCAGGGCCCTGACACACCTTGCTGATTTCTCCAGCGTCTGTCTGACATCCCAGAATCTCCTAAAATGCTGGCATATGCTGAACTTTCTATGGATCTATTTCTATGCTGGGTAAATACATAGAGTTTTCATAATGAGTCCAGAACTTCTGTCCAACAACAGCCTAACTTCTGCATAACGCACGGCAGCGTAATGCTCATGAAATGATGCACAAGCCAGTGTCCTGAGGGGGCAGCGATGCTCCCCTCAGCAAAAGATTTCTTTGATCGTGATATTAACCTAGCTGCTGTTTATGACCCGCCAAAAAAAAAAGAAAAGAAAAGAAGATTCTGGCAGCAGATTCAGCATCATGTCTGCAAGGAAGTTTGGTGGTGGTGGGCGTGAACGCAGGGAGGATCCATCACACTTACCTTCTGGCTCACCCTATGATGGGGTGAAAGAAGCCCAGCAAAACCAGAACCAGGCTCTGTGTGGTGGAGACGTTCTTGTGCTTTCTGCTAGAGGCTGTTTTAGAGTCTCTACACTCTGGTTAACAATTAATCAATTACTAAATTAGTTCATGATTATTTCAATTATCGATTAGTTATATACATATATGTATATATACTTTTATACATGTATATAATACATATGTATATGTATTATATACATATATGTATGCTTCTTAGATCCTGTGCAGATGAACTGTGTGTCATGGTCCTGGTCTGATTGTTCCTGTTATCCATTTGTTGTCCTCTGCTGCCCTCTTGTGTCCTCCCTTCCTCTGTTTCTCTGTCCTGCCAAGCACCTGCTGCCAATTTCCTCGTCAGCTCTCTCTCTGTCTCTGTCCCCTTTAAAAGCCCTCCCTGTTCAGTTCCTGTTTGCTGGATCCTCGTCAAACATCCCGTCTTGCTTCCTGTCTGTTATCTGCCTGCCCTGTCTCGTCTCTCCCTGGCTTCTAGTTTGATTTACCCCTGATGTCTCCTTGGTTCAGGTTCGTTTGCTGTTTTTCTGTTGGACTCTGATTCCTGCCCCTGGTTCTGTGAACCAGAATAAACAGGCTTTATTCACCTCTGCCTACTGGTCTCTGCGTTTGGGTCCTCCACACAAACACTGATCATGACACTGTGTGGCATCTTGTGCTGCACGTTCTAGTGAAGCCTGAGGCTGGTTGAATCACATCTTTTGAAGACCTCTTGTGTGATACTGGTGCAAAGACAAAACATCCAAAGGACCTCAGCAGCTACAGGCCGGTAGGGATTGGATTGGAGCAGATGATGTCATCATCTTTCTCCTGCACCAAGCTCTGACTCACCTAGAGAAACCTGGAGGCTCTGTGAGGATCATGTTCTTTAATTTCTCTAGTGCTTTCAACACCACCCAGCCAGGACTCCTAAGGGCCAAGCTGGAGCTGTCAGGTCTGGACCAGCACATGTCCCACTGGATTGTGGACTACCTCACTGGCCATCCACAGTGTGTGAGAACCTCCAGACGTTCTCTGACCATTCTGCCATAGTTAGCTGCATCATAGCCATCTTCTATGGAGCTGTCTGCTGAAGCAGTGGCTTATCAGTAGCAGAGAGAAAGCCGCTCGATAATCTGATCAGGAAGGCGAGCTCTCTGATTGGATGTCCTCTGGACTCAGCAGGAGGTGGGAAACAGACGGATCCTAACTAAACTAACATCTCTGTTGGATAATCTCTCCTACCCCATCCATGAAGCTGGTGCAGAACTGGAGAGTTTCTACCTTAAATAACCTGCTGCTGTCATTCTGCACATCTCTGATGTTGCTGCTATTTTCAAATATCCATTACTGTAAAAATGTCCATAGCTGTTGTGGTGTATTTCATATATAGGTTTAACTCTTCACCATGATGTTGTTCTTATACAATTTTTGTCCACATTTGTGCGGCCATCTATCTGTAATCTTTGTTCTGCAGTAAACACCAGAATTCCCCCATTGTGGCTTGTTTTAATAATTTAAATAGATAAAATATTAGACATCAGTTCATCATGAGACCGTTTGATTTTCTACACTCTGTTTGTTACTAGTCAAGCTTTAATATGCATCCTTTTGAATTTAGCTATAATCTTGCATACTTTATCCAGATTGCAGGGATGCCTTTTATCAGAGTCCAGCTGTGCTTCTCTGGGCTCAGCGCTGAAGTCCAACCCCTCCCAGCTGACAGAGCTGGACCTGAGCGGGAACAAAGTGTACGCTGGTTTAGTGAAGCAGCTCTGTGGTTTTCTTCAGTCTCCCCACTGCAAACTACAGATATTGATGTAAGATGAAGCATATCTTTTTATTCTAATAAGTTAGTGACATAGTAGGGCTGTTTTAATCATCTTAAAAATATCTCTAAAGTGAGAGCAATGTTGTCAAAATCAAATCTTTAAATCAACATCCGCCATCATCATCACAATAATTATTAGGTCTAAGTGCTGCAAAAGGCCTATATTATCTGAACTGTTTATGATTCTTCTCTGCCTAAAGATACATTTTTTCGGGGCTTAAATGTGCTCACAATACTATGTCCAAGAAATGTCATGATTTTAACTGAGCTTATGAGTTAAAGACCTAAAGATTTACTCAGAATAGGCATAAAGCATTGGGGATCAAAACATATGAAAGGAGTTTTATGCATAAAATCGTGCAGACATGACAAAGCATAACATTCGGACTCATTGTGGTTTTATTACTTCCACACACAGGAACTGGGCTGTACTATAGTTGCAATGTGTCATCTCTAACCAGCAATAAAAAGGAATCGATGTCACAATTTGGTGGGCCTGGTCTAATGTCTCTTTGGCAGCCGGTAGAAGCACATGTAATATACAGAGACCTACGTAAAAGTCTCTTGAAGCAATGGTTCGTATACCTGGGAACTCTGACATTTTTTAATTAAAGCTGCCCTTTTTCAGTTTTATTCAAGCCATATCTAAGCAAACTCCTCTAAGAGCTTGTAAGTTAAGCCAGGCATGCACTGTACTAGTTTCCAACCTTTCTGGGTCAATTTGCTAATCGTGTGAGAATTTTTCGGATCGGGCCAAGTTTCAGCCTCATGGTGCATCCTGCATCGTGTAGTATACAGGGGGTAACGAGGGGCCATCAGCCTCTAATGACCATATCCCGACAGGGATCGTAAGGGCAGGAGAAAATCAAACATGATTTTCTGAGGTGTTGGTGGGCAAATCCTGCTGCGTAAACAAAGCTACGAGCCGATTTACCTGAACCTCAAGCACTGCCCATGTGCAAACGGGAGTTCTTCTTCTTCTTCCAGATTGAAGAGTCTGACTGGCGCCATCTCTCGGCGCTGAGTCAGACATGTGGTTTTTGGATGTATAGTCTAAGCAGATAGATCGCATCGGAGCATCAACAGTGGGAGAACATACATTGTGTGCTAAGATGTTTTAAACCCTGCGGTTTCATCATACAATTTGAGCTGTTGCTGATAACAACAATTGAAATAATCCTACAGTGTATGCCCGGCCTTAGAAAATTCAAAATCACTCAAAATACATTAAAATACATTACTTTGGTGCTGCCACCATCAGGCCGGGAAGTCAGATGCTTTGCTGCTTGAGGTCCTTCTTTTTGACACTCAGTCATAGAGTTTGCTCTGAACAATAACTGATGACAGTGTGGGTGTGGCAAGGCGGCAGGTTTACATGTTATCATTTGAATACGTTTGGCTCTGAGTTACAAAGGAATGGCCAGATTTGCTTTAGACTAGATATGAGTGATAGTTGAGAATATTTGAACTTATCTAGTGGATGACATTCTACTTTGACTCAGCTGTGCCTCTATAAAATGATATAAACAGCCATATCTCTCTGACGCATCGTCACAACGGTTTTAAAATAGTTTCTTACGTTAAATTCAAACAATTTTTTCTACAGGTTGATTATTTATTTACTGATATTGCAGTTTTAATGTGCAACCTGTGTAATTATTTTTTCTCTGTTCAGATTGCAGGCCTGTCGTTTGTCAGAGAAAGACTGTGTGTCTCTGATCTCAGCTTTGAAGTCCAACCCCTGCTATCTGACAGAACTAGACATAAGGAAGAACGATTTGAAAGATGCTGGAGTGAAGGAGCTCTGTGGCGTTCTCCAGTTGCCTCAATGCAAGCTACAGACATTAAGGTAAGATGTAGCATATTTGTATAAATAATATTACTCTGCTAATGTCAGAGTGAAGGTCAATCAGTGAGCTAGTACTGGTCGACAGGCCGGTTGATCAGAAGAAACACAATATTTCCATTGAAATACAGTAAAAAAGTTTTTCCAAACAACCATTAAGAAATATAGAAAATATAATTTACTTTGATATATATGTATTTAATCTTAGACATATTTTATTTTGTAATATTTTACACACAATTGTAAACAAAAAGAAATGTTGTTAAGAACAGCTCTCTGACTATTTCGATTTTTTAAAGTGCAGACTTGATACAAGCAAGCAACAGTAATAAAAACATTGGGATGGAAAAAGTGACGTAAACATATGACTGTATAGTAACAGTTTCAAAATTCAGGGTTTTTTTTCATAACCCATTTTACAAAACAGTTCTTGAGTGTGATGCAGCGTAACATTCATCAGTGTGATGGAGGTGGGGAAGAAGCTGCTGCAGAACCTGCTGGTCCTGCATTGAATGGTGTGAAGCCTCTTCCCAGAGGGCAGCAGGGAGAACAGTCCATGGTGGGGGGGCCGAGGGGTCATTGATGATGTCACGTGCTCGGGACACGCTGTTGCTTGTATATGTGTATATATATATATATATATGGCTATAATCATTAACGTGGCTATAATCATTAACATCAATAAAGGGATTTTACATAACATAAAACCACAGTAACATTAACCAGAACCATCTATGGCTGCTTATGCACTTTATCATTTATGCACAGCCCTTCAGGAAAGTTTCTCCACATGATGAAGCATGAAACCTGATTGGCAGCTAAATTAGTAAGAAACGACTAATCTGACACAACAACAAAAAAACTGTATGAGCTGGACTGGAAACACCATCTCACTGGTCCAAAGGGCCCAGAAGCGCTTGGACTTCCTACGGAGGATGGGGAGAGCCCACCTGCCCCCCCCCATCCTCACCACCTTCTACAGAAGCACCATAGAGAGCAATCTGACCAGCTGTCTCACTGTGTGGTGTGGTTAAATGCAAAGAGGGAATTTAATTGCGCTGTACTTGTGAGAGCAGGGCCGGTTCTAGCCCTTTGGTTGCCCTAGGCGAGATTGAGTTTTGCCCCCCCCTCACTTTTGCCGTGCGAAATACCACTACTGTTTTCAGCATCTGTTTAGTGCTTCATTGTGTTGTGTTTACAGTTCCACAAAGAGTGCTGTGTGGTGAATTGTGCCTACAGTTGTGCAAAGTGTGTGTTACAAAATTGCAAATTGAGTGCAAAGCAGTGTTTGTTCTTTTAGTTTTGTGAACTCAGTGAGTGGATTTGCTATAAGTATTAATAGTTTTAGAAATTGTGCTACAAGAATCAAGGTTGTGTTTAAGCATTCAGAAAAAAATGTAACTTAGCATGGAGTGATGCATAGACAAATACCAGAATAGGTTTCGGTACCTTTTCTTTTTTATTATTTTAAATAATTTATTACACACTCAAAGTTAGGACTGTGCAAAAACACTTTTAACCATCTGTAAGGACACTTAGGTAAAGTATAACTAAAAAACTGGATTGAATCAATGAATGAATTTATTTCAGACAATTAACAAATTTAACACACATTAAACAAATATTAAATAAATCAATTTCAGAAGTTACCAAATAACAATAAAAAATAATAAATTTAAGAAATTCTTCAACCAAGGACTACATAAAAAAGTAATTGATAAACATTAAATTAAATTTTCTGTTCCAGTTCAATTAAATCATTTGAACATAAATAGAAATGAGATAAACAAAATTTTCCTCTAAATAAAATATATCAGGTATATTTACCCTGATTTCTGACATTGATTAGTGATTAAAGAAAGGATTAACCCTCTACAAACAAAAGTGCTTTTATGAATACCATTACAAAATTAAAAGTTTGAAGTTCTTGTAGTTCTATCTATCAGTTGTTTCAGGTATTTCTATTCACCTTCAAAATTGATGCAGCATTAAAATTTGACTCGTCTGGACTTCCTAATGGCAAATTCGTTGATGGTATCATCAAATGAGATTTTATTTGAGACCTCTTGGTTGATGCTCATCAGTGCAAGCCCATTTTGATGATTATTTGTACATCCCTTTTGAATACTCAATGCAGATAATCACTACAAAATATTTTATTTATATTAGTATCTTCTACCCATTCTCAAGCTAATAATATAGCACATAATTCTGCTGCATATATACTGAGAAAAAAATGATGTCAACATACAAAAAAATTTTTGAACTGTTAAAAGAAAAAACTTGTCCTACCATTCATCTAATCTCCAGGTGTTATGCCCAAATGCGCATCTACACAGCACAGCGTTCACAGACCAGTGAGATGCATAAACAAAAAAAAAAAAAAAATACAATACAGTTCAGTAAAATACAGTTCTGTTTTATGCCTCATTCTTGTAAGTTTGAAATGTTCCAATGCTCCTGAATGCACCATAGCTTTCTGACGCGCAGCGAACGCATCTCACTGGTCTGTGAACGCTGTGCTGTGTAGATGCGCGTTTGATTTTCCACTTAAGAGAAACCTTTGCAAACTCCAAACTCACGTCGGCTATCACGGTTTAGTGTTGTGTGTAAATAACAAGAGACCACAACAAATAAATCAGCCGTACCATGGTCAAAATCTTTGGATTTAATGTTGTTCAAAAAATCCGTACTTTTGTAAATTAATCTGCCAAATAACCACAACTTTTTTCCCACGAGAGGTATTTTTAAACGTTTTTATATCATTAATATAAGAACCTAAGCTCCATTGAACATATTTTAATCCGTTTTCCTCGTCGATATGCAGTTCAACAGAGCGAGGCGCGCTCCCGCGACTGGGGATGCATATTTCGGCAGGCATGCACTTTTGGGCATAACACCTGTTGACTTCCAATCTCCACTCATTGTCCGACTCGCTGTTGTTCGTCCGCTGCCTTCTCTTCATCTGAAACATCTGGGTCGAACATGTGAGGCTCCAGACACAAATATTCTTCCTCCGATACATCAGAATGGTCTCCTGGTAGGAATCGCTCGGTTGAAGTCGAAATTTTGCTTTCAGATTTCTCATTTTGGCTATCGCATTTAGTGCAGTAGATCGCCATGAACGCTCCCGTTCTGACGTCACGACTTCCGGGTTGGAGGGCGCTTGAAAAGTGATCAGAATCTTTTCCGATTTTCTCTTAAATGTGAAAAAATAAATAAAAAAAAACGGTGGTATATTTATTTGTTCATATTTTGCTATTTATATATACGTAAGGTTAAGTCAAACTGACGGACGCTTCATAACCGGTTTAATTCGCTTTTTTTTCTAATTCTATGATTAATGGGAAGTAAGCCTAAGGGCGACGCTAGAGGGCGCCCCCAACACATTTGTCGCCCTAGGCAATTGCCTATCTCGCCTATAGCAATCGCCGGCCCTGTGTGAGAGTGACAATAAAAACACTGAGAAAAAGAAATTTTCTTTCTTAAAATTAGAATTTCCCTCCAAACTTTCAATTTTGCAAAGTTGAGAATTATAGAATGGTCGTTTATAATGCATATTTTGGATTATTGGGCTTCCTGAATGCTGTGATTCTGGTTTTGGATGTATTGAGTAAAATGTAGGAATCAAATTTGCTGTAAGGACCCAGGTGCCACTACCCTTAGTTTTCAAGCAACAATGAACAAATATATTAATGTATGTATTCATAAATATACCTTTTCACATACACATTAATAGAGACATCTGTAGTTATAGAATTACTGCCCGTAGACTACAGTAGCCATTTGCACTAATGAAGAGAAGCCATTGATGTTCCCTTCCATTTCTTATCTTATCCATTATCCAGCTTGTTTTGCTGCGGTTTGTCAGAGATCAGCTGTTCTTATCTGGTCTCAGCTCTGAAGTCCAACCCGTCCCATATGATGGTACTGAAACTTGGAGGGAACAACCTGAAGGAGTCAGACGTTCAGCAGCTGATGGATCTTGTGAAGAGTCCAGACTACAAACTGCAGAATCTGTAAGTAGATGGTTGGAGTGAGTCCAACTGCTCTGAACAGGACTGATGTTCATGCTGCTCCTCATCCTGGATGTGCTGCAGATGATGGAGATATGCTGGAAACACCCACTGATCTGCTCTGCTGCTGTTTCTGATCTCTGCAGGTTGTGGAGCGGATGATGTTTCGAGAAGCTGATGTTTCCTGATGATCCACAGAGGCGGAAGCTGCAGCGGTTTGTGTTTAAAGAGACTCTGACTGGATCCTGATGATGAACTCTGAGATTAGAAATGTTCCTCCTCTTTATTTGACCCTGTCTGTGATTTATTGTCTGACATTGTTTATCTCTTTGGAACAATAAAGGTGAAATTCAAAGTGAGCTCCATTTAGTGACTCCATGGAGGTTTTAGCTGAATTTGATGCAGCTGTGAAGTTGATCATTTATCCTCTCTGATACATTTCCTGAAACCCAGAAATCTGAAATATAATTCTAAAGTTTTCAGGCTGCATGTTTGCTTCATTGTAATGCAGTTTTTGGATTATTTTAATTTTAGTTTAGATGTTTGCTGCAGGTGTTTAGGCAGCTCTGTTCTTTTGATCTTCTTCAGGATTTTACTTCCAATATTTCCATCACCTTCTTTCTGATGTTCAAATATCTGATCTGTAATGTACTGAGTAAAGATCATGTTTCATCTGCTACAGCGTCTCCATTAGTTAGCATTGGAAACACTTTCTAGAGCAGCTCAGATCTTTTTTAGAGGATTTCCTCTGTTTGTCCTGATCTTCTGGTTCTGTTAGGTGTGTTTCCATTACCTTCCTCTGAGTGGTGCTACATGCCATTAAGTTTACCAGGAGACTGAGGAGCAGCTATACTGGGCTCCGTTTAAATAAGCACATTTACTGAAAACTCTAACTTTTGATTAACCTGAAATCAGGGAAACTCTTCAGTTTCCATTTAACAAAGAGAGCTTCCTCATCCTCTGTCTCTGTTGCCATGGTAACATCCTCCCAGAGCTATGCTGGTGAGCAGAAGGTTTTCTTCAGGGAGAGTGTCCTATGTCCTTACAGCCAATCAAGCTGTTTAATTTCCTGACTGATTCAGATTTTTGTCTTATTTTTTATTTTTTTGTATTATTTTTGTCTTTTGTTTTATTTGCATAAAAAAGTCATACCGAAATCATCTTTAAATTTCAAATGTCAAATCATTCTGGCTTAAACATGTATATAAATGTACTCTTTATCAGACCATATTGTCCCAAAAGTTAGAAAATCTGTATAAAAAAAAAATTCCTGTCTTAAAATCAGTGTTTTTTTTCATTATCTTCTGCAGGCCAGTTAGTTCTACGTCAGCCTGAACACCTAAATTCGGACAATCATATATCAACGGTCATCTGTCAATCAAATTTTTTCGGTCATAGCATCTTGATTCATGTGTCGCAGCTAATATACGCAACGGTTGAAACCAGAATCCTTTCCTTTCCCATTGAGTTGCGTCCCAGTGTTCACGGGGATGGACGTCTGTGTCTTCGGCAGGCGTAGAGCTAACAGAACTGGCAGCGTTACGAGGCAAGGGCTCAAACATGTACGGCTGGAAGCCTTCTACACCAAACCAAGCTTCTGCCGCCCTGGCGTCCTCTTCCACAACATCTTCGTCCCCGCTTTCCTCCTCTAAATAAAAAATGGATGACGGAGGAGACTCATCCACGACCTCCGACACTAAACTCTCCTCCTCTTGCATGTTTCCGCTGTCCATAGCGTTCCTTGACAGCGTCGTTTCTAAGTCACCAATTTAGTGCTACTTGGTCCCAATGGAATTTCCCATTGGGAACCTGCTAGCACTAAGATGCTAACCAGTTAGCAATTTAGTGTTACTTGGTCCCAATGGAATTTCCCATTGGGAACCTGCTAGCACTAAGATGCTAACCAGTTAGCAATTTAGTGTTACTTGGTCCCAATGGAATTCCCCATTGCGAACCTACTAGCACTAAGTTGCTAACTGGTTAGCAATTTAGTGCTAGCAGGTTCCCAATGGAATTTCCCATTGGGAACCTGCTAGCATTAAGTTGCTAACTGGTTAGCAGTTTAGTGCTATTTGGTCCCAATGGAATTTCCCATTGGGAACCTGCTAGCATTAAGTTGCTAACTGGTTAGCAGTTTAGTGCTTCTTGGTCCCAATGGAATTTCCCATTGGGAACCTGCTAGCATTAAGTTGCTAACTGGTTAGCAGTTTAGTGCTACTTGGTCCCAATGGAATTTCCCATTGGGAACCTGCTAGCACTAAGATGCTAACCAGTTAGCAATTTAGTGTTACTTGGTCCCAATGGAATTCCCCATTGGGAACCTGCTAGCGCTAAGTTGCTAACTGGTTAGCAAGATGCTTCCTACAAACCGGCCACAACCAAACTTGCTTGCAAACCTTCCGCCACAATGATCCCGCCCCCTTGATAAACGACCAATCACATTCACTTTATTCACTCGTGTAAAATCGGGCACCACTCGGCAGAATTCAGAAATGCAATGTTTGGAACAACCATTTTAACAACTTTAAAGAAGAAAAAAAATAATACTCTCAATGCTTTACTTGTAGCATGGATTCGAACCCTCGGGTCTTACCTGGCAGTTGAGGATGTTCTTCACACCAGAGACATCAATGGGATCAATATTTTCAACCATCAATGGGTTCTTCTTCTCCCTGGCTTTCAATCTAGTCTAAGTGTACATCTGTCAAAAAAAAAAAGATTTTTATTTACATTTTCATTTCAATTTTAACTCATTTTATTCTATTTTATTTTCATTCTATTTTATTGCATTGTGTTTATGTATTTTAGCTTTTATTTTTTTTAGCTTATTTGCTGCAATTGTGATATCTGTGCAACACTCTGGTCAACCCCGGTTGTTTTAAATGTGCTTCATAAGTAAAGTTTGAGTTGAGTCTGTTTGGTCATACAAAGCATCTAACTGTTTGGGGTGTAAAAAGTATTTGCTCTTTAACGCCTTCTGGTTCCTCCAGCCTTGCTTATATCACTGCAGTTTTTGGTGCATCAGAGATGGACAGAACCTGAGGACAGGGAACTCATGAACCAATGTGTGCTGACTGCAGACCTTATAGGAGAATATTTATCTGCAGTTCCAATTAAAAGTTTACACCAACTACATATAATTATTACAGATAATTATTTTCCTTCCTTATAACCAGTTATGAAATCTGAATGTTTTCCACATTTAGATCTTTAAGAATTAGGCTAAGCTTGAGTGTCTGACTTTTTAATCTCTACCGGGGAGTGTTGGCCTAGTGGTCAGAGCAGAGCGCTGTTCTCTGAGAAGGTTGCAAATACCTGGTTTGATTCCCACAGACTGCCACTCTGGGTCCCTGAGCAAGACCCTTAACCCCACACTGCTCCCTGGACGCTGCATGATGGCAGCCCACTGCTTCCCGGGGGGGTTAAATGCAGAGAGGGGATTTCTCCATTGTGGGACAATAAAGTAATAACATTTGCATTCCCCTTTAGTTTTTCCATTTCAGTCTGACTGCAGTGATTATAGAGCCGTCTGCAAGGCAAGGGGAGCAGATCTCAATCTGAGCAGATTAATTTCACTTCTGTCCCAGTTTCCCATAGAATGAAACATTGCCCCGCATCTGACTGGCTCAGATTGTGAAAAGTTAATAATGAAAAAAATGTTCTTTATTTTTTTTCTGACTGCTTAGTAGCCACCTTTGCTGTGTTATTAAAGGGAAACGCAGTTTTTTTTCCATTGCGCCCTTGATTTTACGTTATTACATCATGTTCTACTCCCCTATATGAGTTTTGTGTCATTTGGAGCCGTTCTGAAGATATTCTGTTAGGTTATATCCAAGTAACCTCTTCCTATGGGCAACGACTTGAAGGCACAAACTAAACTGTTCATCATTTATTCTTTAAATTCTGGGGGCGACAGTGGCGTTGGATGTAGGAGTTTGCCCTGAAATCGAAGGATTGACGGTTCAAGCTCCGACTCCGACTTTCAGTGTCGTTGTGTCCTTGGGCAAGACACTTCAACTGTATTGTCTACTGATGGTGGTCAGAGTGCCCGGGGGCGCCAGTGTACGGCAGCCCCGCTTCTGTCAGTGAGCCCCAGGGCAGCTGTGGCTACAATGTAGCTTGCCACCATCAGTGTGTGAGTGTGTGCATGAATGGGTGAATGAATGTAGTGTAAAGCGCATTGGTCAAGTCTCCTGACTTGAATAAAGGCGCTATATAAGTAAATGCCATTTACCATTTATGGTATGCCAGCATTCATAACATGTAGGCCAATCACTGTCCCCCAGACATCCGCTGTTATATTTTTATATTTGTATTTTTTTAAAACAAAGCGGAGTGTGTATGACGTCATCCATGCACCGGACTGGAGTTGTGACAGGCGGCTATGCTTCATTAGGCTAGCTAATCTGAATCGTTCAATTCCATCTGGAGAGCGAGATCATCTGTGGTAGTAGCACTAGGCATCTTCCAGGCATGTGAGGAAAACTAGCAGCAGTTCAGCGGACAGGATGAATGAATGGTAGCCGGCGCGCACTGATGACGTCATATATACTCTGCTTTGTTTTTAAAATATAAATATAAAAAATATAACCGCAGATGTCTGTGTCAATGTCAAAGTTATTTATATAGCACTTTAAAAACAGGTATTAAACTGCACCAAAGTGCTTTACAGGAAAGACAAGAACATCAAATTATCAAAACAGAATGTGAAACACTGCTTCAATTAAAAGCACAACAATAAAAATAAGTTTTAAGAAGCGATTTAAAATGATCCAGGCTGTGGGTGGATTTAATTTGAAGAGGTAATTGGTTCCACAGAATTGGAGCAACAACAGAGAAGACCTGATCTCCTTTCCTCTTAGGTCGAGTCCGAGGAACTGTCAGTAATAGTTGATTATTTGAACATAGACTTCTCGACACAGACTGGAATTTTAAAAGGTCTCTAAGATAAGAAGGATCTAATCCATTTAAGAGTTTATAAGTCAATAAGAGAATCTTAAAATCTATTTGGTAAAAGACAGGCAGCCAATGTAAAGAGGCCAGTATAGGCCTTATATGTTCACGCTTCCTGTTTCCTGTAAAAAGCCGAGCTGTTCTGGACCAATTGAAGTCGCTGCATCTGTGATTTATCCATGCCTCTATATAATGAATGGAAATAATCCAACCGAGATGTAATGAAAGCATGGATAAGTCAAAGTCCTTAAAACAAAAATAGGATTTAATTTTTGCTAAAATCCGCAGGTGATAAAAACTTGATCTAACTTCTTGTTCATCTAGCTTTAAACAGCAGTTGAAAGTTAAACCAAGATTCCTAGCAGAGGTCTGACAAACTTAGCTAAAGAACCAAGAATCAGATCTGGATTTGTAGTATGAAGATTCTGACCAAATAATATAACTTGAGTTTTACTTTGATTTAGGAGAAGAAAGCTTTGTTCCATCCAAGATTTGACTACAGCTAGACAATCTATCAATAGCTAAAGAGATTCATTTTTCCCATTTTGTAGTTTAGGGGGCATATAAATCTGAACATCATCTGCAAAGAAATAAAAAGAAACACCAAACTTATGGAAAATCTGACCTATCATCTGAGGAATATTGTAAAAATGAGCAATCTCCTGTCCAGGGGTGATACTAAGAAACTAGTCCATGCATTTGTTACTTCAAGGCTGGACTATTGTAATTCTTTACTATCAGGAAGTCCACAAACTGTAGTTAAAAGCCTTCAGCTGATCCAAAATGCTGCAGCCAGAGTTCTGATGAAAATGAAAAAGAGAGATCATATCTCTCCTATCCTGGCTTCTCTTCATTGGCTTCCTGTTAAATCCAGAATAGAATTTAAAATCCTCCTTCTCACATATAAAGCCTTAAATGGCCAAGCACCATCTGATATCAGAGATCTGATTGTTCCTGATGTTCCTAACAGAGCACTTCGCTCTCAATCTGCAGGTTTACTAGTGGTTCCTAGAACTTCTAAAAGTAGAATGGGAGGCAGATCTTTTAGTTCTCAGGCTCCTCTCCTGTGGAACCAACTACCAGTTTTAGTCCGTGAGGCAGACACCCTGTCTACTTTTAAGGCTAGGCTTAAAACTTTCCTTTTTGATAAAGCTTCTAGTTAGAGTGGCTCAGGTTATCCTGAGCTATCTCTATAGTTCTGCTGCTATAGGCTTAGACTGCTGGAGGACATAGGGACCCCTTTTTCATCATTCTGCTTCATTCTATCTCTATTCTCCCACTCTGCAGAATCTGTTAGTTCAATCTCTAACGTTCTGCTCTCTCTGCTTTTTCTCATAGTAGCTTCATCTGGTCTGTTCCTGTTTGGCTGTGACTCCATCCTGGAGAGAAATATCAGCTGTGCTGCTGCCATCAACACCTTTGTTTCTAGATGTTGGAGCTTGGCCTGTTTTCCAGTGTAGTCCTGTTTCTCTGACTGTGACTAACTGGATGTGCTCCCTTCATCATCTGACATCCTCCTACTTTTTTTTACATTCTACAACAATAATAAATTCTGAACAATTGTGGAAGAAAAATCTCCATATAGAAATGGCCCAGAATGTATTAGAGTGTAGAAATAACAAACAACAACATCCAACTAAACCTCTTAGATCTGCTCCCAGTATCTCTGCTGGGAAGTTTTTGGTTTCCAGAGGAAAAAAATAGCTACCTGCAATACATTTAGAACGGAAATACCAAAAACTGGGAGGTCTTTTAGAAAAAACGAAAAGTTTAAACTGGACCTTATTGTCCTACAGCTCAGTTCCAGAGAGAAGAAGGAAGGAAACGTGTTTAGAAGATGAGCTCAGCTCGACGTAGGCAGAGCCTCAGGGGAAGCAGGTGGAGTCAGGTACCAGATCAGGAGGAACTGGTTCCAACTCCAACTGGTGGCAAAACAAAGAGAAGAGTCTGGATTAAGGTGAGTTTTATTTTTGTTTTGCTCTTAGTTGAGATCACCGTGGATCATGAAGGGAAGCGGAGAAGAAGAACTCAGTCTGGTTCTCCTCCAGAACCAAGCTGCTGGCTTTATGCAGCCTGTGGTTCTGATCAGAGTCTGATTTATATCTGATAAACACAGTTTCCTCTGCTAGTTTCTAGTTTCTTTCTTTTAGACAACAACTGATTTTGTGGAAACAGGAGAGAAGATTTCGAACAAATGTTCTACAGCAGAAGTTCTTGTGTTTGTTGGATAACGCTGACCTTGTTCTATTTTTAGATCAATAATTGAGCTTAACTAAGAGACCTGATTTCCTGCTCTGCTTGTGTTCGTTCTAACTGCTGTAGCCGGGAGGCTAATGATCCCGGCACATTAGTCTCACTTTACAGACGCTTACAGCGTGAACAGGAAGCATCAGACCAGTCTGCACCAATGGGAAGGAGTGAGAACAATAACAGATAACCAGGCACACCGATCGCTTTTATTCAGTTCTACTGCATGTATGCCTGAACCTGACCTTTACCCTGACCTTTACCCTGACCCTGACCTTTACCCTGACCTTTACCCTGACCCTTACCCTGACCTTTACCCTTTCTATAACCTTTACCCTAACCCTGACCTTTTCCCTGACCTTTACTCTAACCAGTGATGGACGAATTACTCAACAGTAATACTTGAGTAAAAGTATTGATACTCATAGTCAAATCTTACTCAACTACAAGTAAGTTATTCAGTAAAACATCTACTCAGATGATTAGATTAAACAATGTAATGATCAAAATCTGAGCAACCCACTGGTTACATTTTTAACCTTTAGTATTTAGTAGTAGTGCTTTCTGGTGAACAGTTACTATTGCTAGTGGTGTGAGCTTTAAGACTCCAATGTGTTGCCAATGTGACCAATTTGTGTTGGTTTTCCCTTTTACCAATATAGATTGGGTAAAACACGGCTAAACTAGATTGTTTAGTTTAACCAGAAGATTGGTCGGACACATAACTTCCAACCAGATTAAAAACCAAACTGTGGAAAAAACTATTATTTTGAATAAAAATGACTAACACCTTTCATTTTGCTCATCATTGCTCAATTTGCACATTCACTGTTTGCTTGAGCTTATTTAACTAAAATGACAGAAAAACAGTAAACCTTAAATGATTTTTCTCTTCTAAGACATTTTACACACAAAAAACTGACAAAAGCTTTTATTATACATACAATCATTAACAATTTCAAAGGGACTTAAATAGGGAAAAAACAAGAAAAATAATTGCAAAACATCACCGATTATATTGCTAACTGTGGTTATAATTTCCACCAGTAGGTGGTGACATGTTTACATGAAGCTTCATGAACTGTGCGGATCATTGCAGCAATTTTCCCAGAAGGTTAAATCCCTCACGAGGCTTCATCTCACTATAGAGGACATTAGGGAGGAATATACCTAAAAAATGAAGAGGATCCACCAATGAGGAACTGAACAGGAGGTGTATATATGGGAGACAGAAACAATGGAGGGGGGGGGGGACTATTTAGATAATAGGGAGAATGTGGAGACAGAAGTAACTAGAAGGAACTAAGAGGAAGGACACTAGGGGGCAGCAGAGAATAACCAGGGTGAAACAACAGGATCTAAAGGTAACTTGAAAATAATTTAAATAAGGCTAAAGGGGAATAAACCAATGACTAAAAAATAAGTAATGACCAAGTGGTTAACTAGAGGATAAGAGAAGAAACTGGAGATAACTGAAGCCATAGAAAACATAGACAGAAGATAAGAGAAAGAATAACTATAAATAAAACTAGATCAAGGAATAAATAATATCAAAAATGTTGAGATAACCAGGAAGGGTAAAAATAAGAATACAAAATTCACCCAAATCTAGACAACACAGAACAAAAAAAGCAAACCTGAGAATTTAATAATAAACAGTTTAACATAAAAAAAGGTCCAGAACAAAAGATCGACGGAACCTGTTGGAATTAGATTCTTCTGGTCCTCTACAGGACTCATTTCCAGAGTTAGGGGTTGAACCCACTGAGTTTCCTTATAGGCGCCTGGAAATTCACAACAGAAATTACATTATAAGGACAGAATCCGCTGCTTTACCTGCTGAGGATGTTTGTCATGATCAACATTTCAGGACTTTTTGGTTCTGTTTGTTTTACTTTTTGGTTTCCCAGTTATATTTTATTTTATGTTATTCTGTGTTTGTCAAGATTTATGTAATTTTTGAACACTAAATTTTACTCTCTCTTGTTATTTCTTTCAGTTCTTTCCTTTTCAGCATTTTTTGGTATTATGTACTGTTTGGTCTAGTTTTAGTTTTAGTCATCAGTTGTATTTCCCTTTAGCTTTGTTTAAGTTATTTTCCAGTTATAGTTAGATTATGTTACTTTTCTTTGCTGCCCCCTGGTGTCCTTTCCATCCTTTGCTTCTTTCCACACCTGCTCCCTATCAGCTGATTAGCCCATTCTAGTCTTAACTCCCATATATACACCTCCTTTGCAGTTCCTCATTGCTGGATTCTCTTCATTCTTATGTTTGTTTCTCCTGAGCGTCTTCTAGTTTTGATTACTGACTTCATTAAATTAGCAAGAAACTCTCTCAGCTTCCTGTCTCTACATTTGGGTCCCCTGACAATGTCTGATTCATTTTTTTGACTTTTTTTTATACTCAACCTACCTGTTTGGTCATAAGTCAGCTCTGGTATGATGTTGTGGGCCAGGAGCTGAAAAGTGTGGGACACTCTGCTCTACACACATGATGGGATCAACTTTCTGTGTTACAGGACACTTATTGGACCAGGACCCCTACGAACTGACTGGTTCTGGTTTCTCTACCAGATCGCCTAAATTCCAAAAGATGGAGGATGCTGTTTCAAAGAAGAACAGGGCCAAACCTCCAGGATCCAGCTGTCCGTCCATGTGGCGAGGCTGGTCTATGGAAAAACCTCCAGCCTTCAGTAATAAACCGGAACCTTCAGACCAGGAGTAAGAAATAGATTTGATTCTCAGCAAGAGATTGTAATTTTCTGAATCAGTTTCTCAGTGTAGTTTTAAGTCATTTGAATAACATGTTTTCATTTCAGAGGTCAGAACCATAGAGAGAAAGTGGTACATCCAGGATCCAGCTATCCAGCTATGTGGCGTGGCTGGTCTATGGAAAAACCTCCAGCCTTGAGTAATAAACTGGAAGCCTCAGATCCAGAGTAAGAAATAGATCTGATTCACAAGCTTGGTTTATACTCACCGTGTCGCACAGGGCATGAGGGTGCGCACACCAAAAGTGAAACAATCACCCCACCCCCGCTTCTGATCGCAGATGGTGTGCGCCAGCCTCATTCCTAATGGGAGAATATTAAGTTATTCTTAAAGAACACAAAACACACACTAAAAACATCAACCAAGGGGAGTTTATTGGCCAGGTTTGTGGTACAAATAGGGATTTAAGCTTCTCCTTCCAAATAAAATTGAAAAACAAACCACTGGACTTTGTTTTTTCAGGTTTGAAGACATTTTGGTTCCCATCCAGAAAGATTTCTTAATTCAAAATGTCTGGAGTAGCATTGAGTTCCGGGCTTTATAGAGTAGCCCAACAAAAGTCTTGTTAAGGCTTAGAAATCATGCATATTAAACCGAACCGGTCAACCCCTTAATAAAGGGAAGTCGTTGATTTCCTTTGTGGCCTGCAAATTAACCCCAAAGTGGCCCATGCCGCTGTATGGGGGAGTCATTAGGGTCGTCGCACACCTGTTAAACAGGTACAATGTTTTTGATCACCTGCATGGTGGTGAGGATTAACATGATAGCGGAAAGGAATCAACTCTATGCATTGTAGGTTTTCGAGAGTTGAATCCTGAGTCCCCCCCCCCCCTGTTTAAGGTTGGTTTTTCTTAACACAGATGGTTTCCTCCATGCCTTTCTCAAACCAACTGTCTTCTTTGTCCAAAATGTGAACATTCTGGTGCTAAACAAGTGTCCTTTGTCTAAGGTGTAGCTGGACAGCAGAGTCTTGTCTGGAGGACAAGTGGCTTGGTGGACTTTGTTATTGACAGACATTAAGAGATGTTGAATGAAGTTAAGTAAGAACTAGATATCTGATGTTGAACATCAGAGCCGTGGGATGAGATTAAGCAGCAGATTAAATCTATAGTATGTCACAGAGTCTGTCATTTTATGTTTGGAAACCCAGAAGTTGATGATACCCAAAGTTTCCAGGCAGGATAAAAAGTCTTTGGTGACGGTAAGACTATAATCAAGATGTGTGCTGAGATCTTCCAGTAGTATAATATTGGAGACAATTTAAAAAATCACTGTTAGGTTTATGGGATCAGCAGTGTTTGGTCAAAAATGTTGCCAGCAAGACATTCCATGGCGGTTTAGGCTAGGATGGAGAACGTTGAAGGTCTCTTGGTAGAATATCAGGAGACTGTTTCAATGGTCTGACTCGCAATGTTTGGAGATGTAAACAAAGCCAGGCGGTGTTGAATCACTGAGATGAGAGGTTTGCCAGGTTTTTTGTCAAGCAGAGAAAGTCAAACTTATGATAAATGAGTAAATCCTGGAAATGTTCCCTGTGTGGGAGAATGGAAAGTTGACGAGTCCAAAGTTACTGGTGGTTGTTGAAGAGGTTGACTGGAGGATTAGCCCATCTAGGTAGCACACTGTTATCAACAGTGTGGGAGGATTTACTGTGATGGCATAAAGAGGAGGACAGGAAGGATTTGATGGTCTTGGATGTGGTTGAAATGAAAATCCCGTCAGGAGTCACCGTGAACATATCTCTGGAGCAGTAGTGAGGTGATCTTTGGGTGGAGATGTAGATTTGTTGGCGGTGGCTCTGACAACTAGGAATCGATCCAGTGGATTTTGGTATTGTAAGCAAACACATGAACCCCATTATTAATACAATCAAAATAAAGGCTTAAATGATTGATTACCACTAAATTAACATTTTTGTTGTTGTTTTTTTTGTTTTCTGCTGTTAAACTTGATAAATAGACATCGCACCATACAGTCTACACCACCCAGGCATTACAGTATTTTTGATCATATACGGCACATTTGTGGAAATCCTGCTTTTGTGTTTAAATCCGCCTTTTCGTGACCTGCCCAACTTAAAAAGGGGTTTCTCCAATCTGATTTTTGCTATCGAATTAACCTGAGATGTAATGTAAATTGATATGATGCCCTGCAGAGGACAGCAATGGTTTACTGACAATAAAGAAACAGATGATAAACTGAATGATTTGTTTTTTTTTAAAATAGAGATGAAAATAAGCTATCAAGATCAAGACCAAGAAATGGAGGTGGACCACTGACTGCAGCAGGTAAGACTGCGGGTGGTGAATGGGGGAGCAATGGAATCATGATGTCATTTGATAACAGGTAGACATTTTAAAACAGTTATAGTTTTAAGAACTCAGATATATTACAGTCACGCTGTTCTATTCTGAGTGAAGACTTTGAACTCTGGTTACACCCGAGTTTAATGATACCACCAGAATTAAAGTAGGAAATTTCATGTTTGTGGTAATTGTGTCCCATTAACCCTGATTGCTCACTGATGGTGGTCAGAGGTAGCCTGGGTGCCATTCCGAACTTAGTCCCGCCCACAAAGTTTGAGGTCGGGAAGTTCGGTCTGGCTCTGCTCCATAGTAGCGCGAGTATGATCGCCCACTGTCAGGCGATCCAATCAAATTGTCAGGGCGGGCTTTATACGATGATGGACAGATGACCAACAGTAACGTACTCAACCACGTGACCAAAGCGCGCTTGGGTGACAACAACAATGGCTGCCGCTGGAGAGTTGAGGTGAGTAGATTCTGCTATTAGGTCTGTTCTAGAAGATATCGACAGCAAATTAATTTTAAAAGAGGAACAGAGAAACGCGATCAAGGCTCATCTTCTTATTCTAGGCGTGCAACTGCACGCTTTGATTTTTGTTCACAACAACTATGCGTCGCTTAACATACGTCCCGCACTCCGTTGCTCTTATTGGTTGTAGGTCTATCCAATTGAGTGCAGAGGCATTTTTTTTCCTGGTTCGTTCGAAACACGCCCCATAATCACAGCTCTATGGAGCAGCATCAGACTCATTCTGACTAGAATTGAGTCGGACTACGTCAGGCTAGGTCAGAGGGTGGTACCGGTGTTTATCACATCACTTCCCATTTTGGTTGTTGACCTACTTTTCCTTAGTGCTGCCCAGGGTCTCTCCATTTGAGCCAATCACTGACCTGATCTGTAAAACCCTAAATGATGTATGGTGTTTTACAGAAACCTGGCTGCAACAAATGGACTATGTTAACATAAATAAGGTGACCCCTTCAGCTACTCACATTTTCATATGCCCAGAAATTCTGGGTGTAGAGAAGAGGTAGCAAAAATCTTTCAGCCTGACTCATTGATTATTCCTGAGCCAGTTAATAGTTACAGTTCTTTTGAACATCTAGACTTAGACAAACGTTATTGTCATCTTGTATAAACAGAGTAAGTATTAAGTAAGTAATTAAGAAATGTTTATTTATATATCACCTTTCACAGACATAGAGGTCACATAGTTCTACTCCTCTTCCTACCCAGAATTTCTTGGTTTGTGAAAATGTAAATAGCTTGAAGGAGTTGCCTCATTTATGCTCACATAATCCTCTTGCTGCAGCCAAGTTTCTGTAAGGTAACATAAATCAATGTGATTATCACAAATCCAGTCATTAACTAGCAGACTTTTTGAAGATAGATCTTATGTTAAATAGACCAAATTTAATTGTTTTAACATTTTACCAAATTGGGGTTATTTTTATTTTTATGAGCTTATCATTGTATGATGTATTTGATTGTGTTCGTGGGCAAGACACTGTCTGGATGGAGTATTGAGTGGGTAACAGTTGAGAAGCTGCAGAGAGGTGTGATAAACTATGACTCTGCTTCCTAAAATGTGCCCGGGGTGTTCCTCACATTTTGAATTGAAAAAAACTTCCTAGATGGGAAGAAAATGTCTCCAAACTTGGAACCCAAGTCCAATGGATTGTTTTTAAATTTTTACAGAATGACTATGACCTGGATGACTGAGAACTTTCACCAGCAGTTCACAACAGTTACAATATACTGACAGTTCTGACAGTTGAACACTGTTACTGATAAAGGAATGATTTGAATATTTAGCACCAAATAATATGCAGGAAAAGACCATATAATGATAGGCTCCAGCTACCTAATTTTGGGAAATTCTCGCCTATTTTGGATACCCACATGAAACATCAAATAATTTGTCAACTGTTAGCTCCAATTACATGTGCAAATCTACAAAGCTAACACTTTGTAGATATTTGATATATCAATGGAAACTGGGTGAGTAGAACACAGACCAAGCTTCATCAGTTCAAACATGACTCAAAGTTGTTTTTATTTTCTTGAAAATACTAGGTCTTTTTAGTACAACAGTAATAAAGAGAATAAGCATTTCTCATTGTATTACGTGTGTTTTAAGTCATGTCATACACAAATGTAGAACAGTTCAGACCACTAGCTACAACAGTTCCAGAGCTGTTGGGCTTTGAACTTTTAGTGTCACCTGCATGTCCAAATCTTTCCAAAAGTGCCAAATTTTGCTAAATGCTTTTACAATGTTTTGCTCCATTATTTGACCCATAGAATAACACTGAAGCATTTTGATGGCCACAAAACATTTATGAAGTGAGTATTTTCCACTTTATTGCAGAGTCAGGGTATATAACAAAATGTAAAAATTTTACACCTACAGCATAATAGTCTATAAAAAATAGTGAAACTGCTGCTTTTCAAGGTAAAATAAGCTGCTGCGCCTTTTCTTAGCTGTGTTTTGTTTTTTGTTCAGCCTTTGGCATTGTAATAAAACAAAATCAGCGCCCAAACTTAAAAAAAATAGGACCATTGTTATTATTCAGTTTGGAGCTAAGCGCTTTGATCCAATCTCAGCTGTTTTTCACTTATGCAAGCCGGTAACTCAGCTCTGCTTTATATTTCCCAGCCATGTCTAGTCTGGTTTGAAACCTTATTTCATTGGCTACAAAGCCAAATAGCCCATGTTGTCTTAGACAATAACAGCAGGACTCTAGGAGGCGTAATATTGCTCTACTCGGTGCATCACTGGCTGACAGGAAGTGGCCGGAAGTGAGACTTCAGCAACCGTCCCTGGATAAAATCACATCATACAAAGATGCGGACACTTTTGTTTTGTACAGGGGTCTCAAAGTGGTTCCAGAAAGGCCGTGTGGCTGCAGGTTTTCTTTCCAAGCAATAGCACCGGACTCCATCATCTCATCAAGTAATCATGTTAAGTCTGGACTTAATTGATGAGATGAATGGAGTCCTTTCTGGAACCAGTTTGAGATGCCCGGTCACAAATAATTTATTTTCTTCAGCCGTCTTTTCTTCTTTGTTTCAGCAGATGTCATCCTGGAGAAGCTTCTAGAAGAACATAAGATCAGTCTGAGGAAGAGATGTGAACATGTGACTGAAGGAAGTGATGAAACAGGAAGTAGAACCCTCCTCAACAGGATCTACACTGATCTCTACATCACCGAGGGACAGAGTGAAGAGGTTAATACCCAACATGAGGTGAAGCAGCTGGAGGGAGCTTCCAAGATCCAGAACCTCCATGATTCTCCAATCAGGTGCCAGGACATCTTCAAAGCCTTACCTGACCAACATGGAGCCATCAGAGTGGTTCTGACCAACGGCGTCGCTGGTGTTGGAAAAACCTTCTCAGTGCAGAAGTTCACTCTGGACTGGGCAGAGGACTTGGAGAACCAAGATGTCAGTGTGGTGGTTCTGCTTTCCTTCAGGGAGCTGAACCTGATCAGAGATCAGCAGCACAGTCTTCTCACGCTGCTCCATGTTTTCCATCCAACCCTCCAGAAGCTCCCAGCAGAGAAGCTGGCTGTCTGGAAGCTTCTCTTAATCTTTGACGGTCTGGATGAAAGCAGACTTTCTCTGGACTTCAACAACAGTCTGATTGTTTCTGACGTCACACAGAAGTCATCAGTCAACGTTCTGCTGATGAACCTCATCGAGGGGAACCTGCTTCCCTCGGCTCTGGTCTGGATAACTTCCAGACCTGCAGCAGCCAATCAGATCCCTCCTTCATTGGTTTCCAAGGTAACAGAAGTACGAGGCTTCAGCGACGCCCAGAAGGAGGCGTACTTCAGGAGGAGGTTCAGTGATGAAGAGATGTCCAGCAGGATCATCTCCCACATCAGGACCTCCAGGAGCCTCCACATCATGTGTGGGATCCCAGTGTTCTGCTGGATCACTGCTACGGTTCTGGAGAACCTGTTGACCACAGAGCAGAGAGGAGAGCTGCCCAAGACCATGACTGACATGTACTCACACTTCCTGCTGGTCCAGACCAGGAGGAAGAAGAACAAGTACCATGAAGGACATCAGACGAGTCCACAGGAGCTGATGGAGGCTGACAGGGAAGTTCTCCTGAAGCTGGGGAGGCTGGCGTTCGAACATCTGGAGAAAGGAAACATCATGTTCTACCAAGAAGACCTGGAGCAATGTGGTCTGGATGTCACAGAGGCCTCCGTGTTCTCAGGAGTTTGTACAGAGATCTTCAAAAGAGAGAAGGTGATCTTCCAGAAACCAGTCTACTGCTTTGTTCACCTGAGCATCCAGGAGTTTCTGGCTGCAGTCTACATGCTCCACTGCTTCACCAGCAGGAACACAGAGGTGGTGGGAAACTTCCTGGGAGAAGACTACAGTGAAACATCATTTGATGACTTCATGAAAGGAATCATGGAAAAATCCCTTTTCAGTCCAAATGGCCACCTGGACCTGTTTGCTCGTTTCCTTCATGGCCTCTCTATGGAGTCCAACCAGAGACTCTTAGGAGGCCTCTTGGGTCAGACAGAAAACAACCCAGGAACCATTCAGAAGGTCACCAATAATCTGAAGGAGATGACAACTGATTATATCTCCCCTGAAAGAAGCATCAACATCTTCCAGTGTCTGATGGAGATGAAGGACCTCTCAGTTTATCAGGAGATCCAACAGTTCATGAAATCAGAGAATAGATCAGAGAAGAAGCTCTCAGAGATCCAGTGCTCCGCTCTGGCCTACATGCTGCAGATGTCAGAGGAGGTTCTGGATGAGTTGGACCTAGAGAAGTACAACACATCAGAGGAAGGACGACGTAGGCTGATTCCAGCTGTGAGGAACTGCAGAAAGGCTCGGTGAGTCCAGGTGTCTTCATGCAGTGGTGCTGATTCAGCTTTATCGTCCTCCTGGTGCTTCTTTCTTGTTTGATTTCATTCAGGGTGGTTTTGGCTCTTTAATGTCTTTCTTCACAAATTGAAAGGTTTAAACCTTTCAACTTCTAAACTTTAAGGTCGTTCAGGAAAAAAGCTGATCTAGCTTTTGGTATGTAGACATTTGTTTTTACCAATTTATTAATATCATACTTTTGATCTGCTTCCATATTTATTCAATGTATTTATTTATTATCAATCTAATATTCATATAATTTCATTTAATTTTTTCCATCACATCAGCATCAACCCTGGACAGGAGATTTCTCATTTTTGTAATATTCCTCAGATGAAAGAAGGAAATTCTAGAAACCTCTTTGATCTGGGATTTAAATGACAGGTCCTGATCAAAAACAACACCAAGATTTTTTTACTTTATTATCTGAAATCAGTTTAATCCCATCCAAATGAAGTGACTGGCTAATCAGCTTCTTTTTCAGAGACTCTGGTCCAAAGACTATAACTTCTGTTTTGTCTGCATTCAGAAGCAGAAAGTTAAGAGTCATCCAGGTTTTTATGTCTTCAGACATGCCTGTAATCTATGTAATGGGTTAGCTTCATCTGGATTTATAGACAGATATAGCTGGGTATCATCAGCATAACAGTGGAAATTAATCCCATGCTGTCTAATAATTCTACAAATTGGCAGCATATATATATAGTAAAGAGAATTGGTCCTAGCACTGATCCCTGTGGTACTCCACAGGTAACCTTTGAGCATGAGGAAGATCTATCATTAACATGAACAAACTGAATTTGATCAGATAGATCAGATTTAAACCAGTCTAGTGCTGTTCCTTTAATTCCAACAAAATATTCAAGTCTTTCTAAAAGAATATTATGATCAACTGGATCAAATGCAGCACTGAGATCTACAGCAGTAATAAGTTTGTTTCTCTTAATAATTAGCTTAGCTAATGAGTAACACAAGAAGAAAAGTGTTTACATTTTGCTCCTGGTGACCCCAGCAAAGCGGAAATTTCTATTTAGTTTTTATGTATCTCTGACAGAGTTCTGCCAAGATGTGGATTTTCTATTCACTCGCATTCTTTCTTGGTATTCTCTTTGTGCAGATCAGTTATCAGCTAATCATTCCTCTGGCAGGTTATCAGTCATTGTAGTAACAGATCTGGAACAACATCGCGCTCATGTCCAATGCTGCATCAAAGGCTTTATAAAAGAGGACTGAGCTTTCAGCCCATCTGAACTTTTCTTTTTAAAGTTCAAAACACAGGATGTTATTAAGCTCAACACGTGTCACATCACTTCTATTGTACAGGTTTTATGTTTTAGAGTCAGATATTCTTTATGATTATATTCTTTAACAACTCTTTGATCTTTTTACAGACTTTCTGGCTGTAGACTATCAAAATCTGAATGTGAAATTGTGGCATCAGCTCTGCAGTCTAACCCCTCCTATCTGACTGAGCTGGACATAGATCAGATCTATGGAGATAGATCCTTTGGAGATTCCGGAATGAAGCATCTGTGTGAAATCTTGGAGAGTTCAATCTGCAAACTGAAGAAACTGAGGTTAGTTTTCTCTGTTAATCACAAACCAACTCCTTCACTATTCCTATGTTTTTTATTACAATAATATCCTGTTTAAAAACAGCCTGTTTTCCAAATGCAAAGTTACATATTTTTATGTATATTATTTTCCCTTTTCAGTTCTTGTATTTTTTATATGTTACAAAGTTTCAGAGTGAGGGATAAAAATTAGGTGTTGAAGTCAACTGATGTGAAGTGATGATTGAGATGTTGATCTGGGAAAGATTCAGACTATGAAGGAAAATGTCCTTCTTTCTCTTTTCTTATTCTTAGCATCGACATGGTTTCTCTGAAGTCCAAATAAACGTAGAGCCAGCATGCTGGTGAAGATTCTCAGTCATTGACATTAACACCTTATGGGGGGCAGTGGTGGAGGGATGAGGATGTTAGAAGGGCTGCGGGTCTGGCTGCCTGTCTTGGTCCTGGTCCATGCCGTCCCCTGGTGGGGCTGCGTCCGGGCTGGGGGTTCTGCATGGTATTTATTTTTTTTTTCTTTCATTTTTTTGGATGGACAGGATGGAGGGGGGTGGCAGTGTCGGCACTGGTGGCCGGCGGGCTTGTGGGCCACTTGTGGGCCTCACCACGGTCGGCTCCCCCGACCCCCTCTCGCATTTAGACATTGAGGGTTCAGGGTTGTCGACTGGGGGGGTGCACTGGCACCGCCTGTCTTCCGGAGGGGGGATGGACTGTGCTGGACACCCCCTTTTGGTACTCCCAGTTTTAATTACACCTGAGAGCAACATGCAACAACATTCGAGCAGGCGCAGGGAGGATGGGGTCTTCTCACACCCCTGTTCTCTTGTTGCCACCTGGAGTCTGGGGCCTGGAGGAAGAGCAAGCCGCCTGGTATGTGGTTTTGGTGGGGGGTTTGCTGTGGGGCCTGGGTGGCCTGCCGGTGGCGGGGCTGTCACTTCTGCTCTCTTTAAAAGAGGGTGGAGGGAGGGGCAAGTAGCAAACCGAGGGGAGAAAGTGGCTTGGTGAATTAGTTAGGAGGAGTGGGGGGCTATGGTTGGGTGACCTGTGTGGGGTGTGTGGTCCCCGAACCCGGGAGGGCTTTTGCTGGGGGTGGTCTGGTCCAGGTGGGGGGCCTGGCCCGAAGGAGGAATGAGATGGGTTGGTGTGGTGGTGTCACCGCTCCCCCCATCCGAATTTTAGGTTCACTTATTGGGTCATCCCATAATCCCGGGACCGAGCACTGGTGCCGCTGGGTCTTCAGTCCTGGGATTACTGATGTGAGTGTTATGTCTGAATGTGCGTCCACTTTTTTTTTTTTTTGCTCATCTTTACAGAGACTGTGTGGTGTGAGTGGGGGCACTAGGGGGGAACGCGTGATTGAGACTGAGTTTTTGTTCTCTCCAGGTTGGGGTCTGAACTGCTCCCTCTCCCAAGCACATCTCAAGTGTCCGCTAAGTGCGGATCCCATTCTATGAAGCTCAAGAAACACTTACAGGTGCTGGTCATAAAATTAGAATATCATGAAAAAGTAGATTGATTTCAGTAATTCCATTTAAAAAGTGAAACTTGTATATTATATTCATACATTACATACAAACTCATATATTTCAGATGTTTATTTGGTTTAATTTTGATGATTACAAATGACAACAAATGAAAATCTCAAATTCATCATATCAGAAAATTAGAATATTACTGAAGACCAATAAAAACAAAGGATTTATAGAAATGTTGGCCAACTGAAAAGTATGAACATGAAAAGTATGAGCATGTACAGCACTCAGTATTTAGTTGGGCCTCCTTTGGCCTGTATTACTGCAGCAATGCGGCGTGGCATGGAGTCGATCAGTCTGTGGCACTGCTCAGGTGTTATGATAGCCCAGGTTGCTCTAATAGTGGCTTTTAGCTCTTCTGAATTGTTGGGTCTGGTGTATTGCATCTTCTTCTTCACAATACCCCATAGATTTTCTATGGGGTTAAGGTCAGGAGAGTTTGCTGGCCAATTAAGAACAGGGATACCATGGTCCTTCAACCAGGTACTGGTAGCTTTGGCACTGTGTGCAGGTGCCAAGTCCTGTTGGAAAATGAAATCTGCATCTCCAAAAAGTTGGTCAGCTGCAGGAAGCATGAAGTGCTCTAAAACTTCCTGGTATGTGGCTGCGTTGACCCTGGACCTCAGAAAACACAATGGACCAACACCAGCAGATGACATGGCACCCCAAACCATCACTGACTGTGGAAACTTTACACTGGACTTCAAGCAACGTGGATGAAGTGCCTCTCTTCTTTTCCTCCAGACTCTGGGACCTTGATTTCCAAAGGAAATGCAAAATTTACTTTCATCAGAGAACATGACTTTGGACCACTCACCAGCAGTCCAGTCCTGTTTCTCTTTAGCCCAGGCAAGACGCTTCTGACGCTGTCTGTGGTTCAAGAGTGGCTTGACACAAGGAATGCGACAGCAGAAACCCATGTCTTTCATACGTCTGTGTGTGGTGGTTCTTGAAGCACTCACTCCAGCTGCAGTCCACTCTTTGTGAATCTCCCCCACATTTTTGAAGGGGTTTTGTTTCACAATCCTCTCCAGGGTGCGGTTATCTCTCTTGCTTGTACACTTTTTTCGACCACATCTTTTCCTTCCCTTCGCCTCTCTATTAATGTGCTTGGACACTGAGCTCTGTGAACAGCCAGCCTCTTTAGCGATGACCTTTTGTGTCTTGCCCTCCTTGTGCAAGGTGTCGATGGTCGTCTTTTGGACAACTGTCAAGTCAGCAGTCTTCCCCATGATTGTGTAGCCTATAGAACTAGACTGAAAGACCATTTAAAGGCTTTTGCAGGTGGTTTGAGTTAATTAGCTGATTAGAGTGTGGCACCAGGGGCCATCAATTTTGAACCTTTTCACAATATTCTAATTTTCTGATATGATGAATTTGAGATTTTCATTTGTTGTCATTTGTAATCATCAAAATTAAACAAAATAAACATCTGAAATATATGAGTTTGCATGTAATGTATGAATATAATATACAAGTTTCACTTTTTAAATGGAATTACTGAAATCAATCTACTTTTTCATGATATTCTAATTTTATGACCAGCACCTGTATATTACCAATTACAAATTACAAATGAATTATAAACAATTGCATTTGTTAATGTCCACTGAGCAATGGCTCGTAAATTTCGTCTGGTCTTAGTCTCATTAATGAAAATAGTTTTTTATTTTTGTCATATTTTTATTTTCTGGAAACAATTTTTGTGCGTCATCGTTTCGTCATCGTCACAGGAAAAAGGGATGTTGACAAAATATTTTTGTCATCGTCCTGGTTGACGAAATTAACACTGGTATGCATCACACTGATAAAACCAAACCAAAATACTGCATATTTGCACCACATATATATTAATGCTCTGAACTC